ACCAAATCTCAAGAATGGTGGAACAACTCGCCAGGAATGAGACAGGCTAAAGAGTTTATTAAAAAACCATCGCCAACATTCACAGAATATCTTCTAAGCCAGAAACGAAGTTCAACTAGAATACTAGTGGGACTTCTCACAGGGCATTGTAGGCTCAACAAACACATGAGTACGATAGATCTGACTGAAGAACTGCTGTGCAGGTTCTGTCAAGAAGAGAGAGAAACAGCAGTACACATACTTTGCCACTGTGAGGGTTTGTCAAGACTAAGGTTCCTTACGCTGGGTGAGGAAAAACCAGGAGCCCAGAGATACACAGGAGCTGAAAGCTAGCCTATGGAGTCTCATAGAGAAGGAGGGGCTAGCCGAAGAACTCTAATCGATTTTGAGGGCAGACAATAGATCTGAAAAGGTCGCAGATAGCCCGAAGGCCCCATTTCCAAATCTAATCTAATCTATAGCATAGCAACAAACTTTTTCTGCCTAGGCAATAAGAGCTAGTACACCTCTTCTACCTGTTAAGTAGTGTCATTAAAAAGCCACTTTCAATGTAATTTGGAGAAAAACAATATTTTTCGATTGTCAAAATACATGTGCCAAAATTTAGTTGAAATCGGATATTTGTTACAGATATTCGATTACGTGAATTGCTGCTCTTACTGCATAATGTTCTTTTCATTTTCAGAGGAGCAATACGGCCCAATATTTCTATCGGACATTCAACTACTGATCAGAAGTAATCTACACACGGGAATGTTCCTTCATCCAAAATGATCACAAAGAAGTTCTTTTTCGTTTCAATTTAGTCCAATAATTGAAGGAGGAAAAAAAGGCAAAGTTAACGTTAATTACGCACTATTTTCATCTTCCGGTTGGAAGTAGCTTTTGGTACCTCATTAAACATGAGACAAAGTTTGACTGGAAAACGCGTGCGATGGCGGAGAAAATGGCCCCAAAAGACCAGGAAAATAGGTTTTCAGCCAATATCTCCTAAAATATGGCAGTTAGAGATTTTCGGTTCAGATAAAAATTGAAGTTCAGTTAATTTTCTACAAAAATGGTCCTTATCATTTTTCTGGAAAATTTGCCAGGTTTCGAGAAAAACGGCACGAAGCGCACCTCGAATAATGAGCTTCTGTTGTATGCCGGAGAGCACAGTCCGTGTATTTACACATCGGCGGGGGGACGAATTATTCAATAACTTTGTTAAAAATGCATATTTTCTCATGATTCAAAGTTCATGTGAAAGAGGAATTCTGCTGCTATCATACCCTGCGTGGCCGCATGGTTTGTAGCAGACGACCCGAGCGCCACGTAGAGCACACACGCGGCAAACGACGGAGGAACGAAAGTAATAAATTATAGCGTGTACATTTAGATATACTGGTTTTTTCCCGGGATATCAAAGGTATGACTTATATACATCGATGGAAAGGTGGGAATTCCCCCGTTACACTAGTTGAGGTGTTAAAATGTTAGAAATAAATAGCACGGAGAAAAAAACCACCGAAAAAAAAGTGTGTTTTTTCCTTGACCCAGCTTTTTCTAATTTTATTGAAAAATGGACGACTTCCTCTAACAAAGTAATTGCACAATCGAAAAGTAGACCTTCTTAGCTTTCAAATGATGTATCATAGAAACCAATCGGATCATGTATAAATTTTTAATTGATGGTTGTTCACAAAATTTCCCCGCGCTCCAAAAACAGCAAAAAATTGGGATTCAATAAACAAAGATTAAATGAATTAGGGTATATAAATTTCAGGGAAGACGAAGGACCTCATGAGGACCCATAATCAAGAGAATTTTGAGTAAATTAGTGCAATACAAAAAAAAATAGGAACAAATTCCTGGCGAGGTCAAAATTGACCGGGAGCAGAAAGTTTGACCCATGTTCCGATATGGCCAAAAGAGTCAAGCGTGACTCAATTCACAGGGTATGAGAGCAGCAGAATTCCTCTTCCACATGAACTTTGAATCGCATTTTTAACGAAGTTATTGATTTGTAAATACACGGACTGTCCTCTCCGGCATACAACACAGAAGCTCATTATTCGCGGTGCGCTTCGTGCCGTTTTTCTCGAAACCGGGCAAATTTTCGAGAAAAATGATAAGGACCATTTTTGTAGAAAATTAACTGAACTTCTATTTTTATCTGAACCAAAAATCTCTAACTGCCATATTTTAGGAGATATTGGCTGAAAACCTATCTTTCTGGTCTTTTGGGGCCATTTTCTCCGCCATCGCACGCGTTTTCCAGTCAAACTTTGTCTCAAGTTTAATGAGGTACCAAAAGCTACTTCCAACCGGAATTAATGTTAACTTTTTCCCTTTATTTATTGCACAGGAAGGAAGGAATGCTCGAAGTCATCTCCACAAATTTTAATGATACATGTCCCTCATGATTTAGTTAAAAATATCATTAAAATTTGTGGAGATGACTTCGAGCATTCCTTCCTTCCTGTGAAATATTTCACTCCACTTTGAGCAATATGGACTTCTACCAAAGATTACTTTATTTATTGGACTAATTGTGCGTTTTTAAAGTTATTGACGCTGCTTTTCAGCACAAGTTTCATGATCGGTTTCAGAAGACTGTTCAAATTGCTTTGTTATTGACCCCAACGAAAATATGAAGACTAAATTTCGCACCTTGTTTTTGAGATTCTCGTTGAACTTTACCACGTTGACGGACTTGAAACAACCTTTTTCGTCCTCTTCTGTGTAGTTCCTGATGCAACAGCAGAGGCTGCATAGTCGCAGTACAAGAGCAAATGGATACGCCAAGAAAAACACTAGATTCAGACAAAATCCGGTCTTTCTAAAAAAAAAATATATATATATTTTCAGCAAAGAATTGGCGAAAAATTGAATTTCTCAAGTTTCCCAATGATTTTGGTGACTTGACAACACAACCTCGAGCTAAAATATAATGGTTCTTTCCCTTGTATAATCAATGTAGGTATGCATAGACGTTATATCAATTGCCAATTTTCATGAAAACGTCAGTGTAATTCGAGTCCTTAAAAATTTAAAGATGCCTCGTTCAAATCGGGTCGAAATGGAAAATATCATTAGGTAAGATCACTATAGTGATATAAACTATAATTCAGTACAGATAATTATTATTTCAGGTTACGATGATTAGGATATACCCAAACTCATCTAAGTACCATTTTCATTAAGTCAGGCATGACAATAAATAGACTAATTCATCGTTTTGAGGATACAGGTGATTTTAGTCCATTTAAAAGAAATGCAAAAAAAATGTTTCTTCGGAAACCACAGTAGTTTTTTTTTTCAAAATGCACGAAACTTTGTTTCACCCTGTATCAAGGGTCCTGATCAATTTAGAAGAAGCTGTAAGGAACGGTTCGAAAGACGATGAAAAAGGCATTCAGAATCTGGGCGGCAAATTTCGTTCAATATTTTAGAAATTACGAGAAGTCAAACTTGATGCCAAATTTCACTATTAACGTTTCAATTGACGCCCAGTTCATCTCGAAAACTGTTACAATTTAACAATGGGCTTATATCACAAAAAAATTGCATTTCATAATTCGATAGAACTCACCCAAACTAGCTCACCACCGCAAACCGTTTCTTGCTGTGAGCTCCCTACGTTTTATAAAAATTTATTGAAATCCACGATTTTTCGGACCACTGAAAACGAGGCGATGATGTGACGTCAAAACCCTAATACTGAAACAAGACTATTCCAGACAGAGATGAATGATACATGATTTCTGACAGAGTGAATTAGCGCGAGATCACAGTTGAAAGAATTAATATATCAGTTGCCTCAGTCTCCGTCGGGCTTTTGGTATTTTCTTTTAACTATGGCGAGATGAGGTTTCTACGTCATAAGAGGGTCCGTTTTCAGAAGGTACTATTATTTATGTCCAAAAATAAAACATTCTAGTTGATTTTTCGATCGAATTATGTCGTCAATCATTATTTATGTATAAAAGGATCATTATAAACATGGTTTTGTTAAAAGTTCTACTAAGGTGTACACGCCCATTAAGAGTACCGTTTTCATGTAATTTTCTAATGCTCATATATTCACCAAATAAAACACGAGGAAAAACGTGGTCTTCAAAAAATCATGATCCACCCTCTAAAAACACCCCTTATAACATATCAGAAATATAGAAGTGTATCAAAAAAATGTATTCTGTAATTTTCATCAAGAAACCGCTGCAATCAGTAACAATCGGAGTCTACAAATTATTAACAAGTTGTTGACAGACAAATAATGAAAGAACAGTGCAATGTAATACTTTTAAAGCGTTCTTAATGTACATTTTGAAAAGACGAACGAAACGTACTTGGATATAACTCGAACGGTCCTCTCATTAGTGTACGGGTTGATAGGCCATCCTGCTATATCGTACTGAACGGGTAGATGTTTATATTCCTTTTCTTGGTATCTTTCCAAAGGTTTGGGCAAATCTACTAATATACTCAAACCTAAATCTCCTAGTCTTCTCGAACAGTATAATCCCAATAGTCCTTTGATAATACCTAAAAACATTACAGGGAAATTCAAATATACTACTCTGTGTGAAAAATAATTTCTTCTTACCTAAGAGTAATAGAATGAATACAATTCCCATGAATATCAATAAAAACAAGTACCAAGGATTTTCCCATATATTCTTTCTGTAAAATGGACCTGCATCATCTGCAGTATTGCCGCAGTATCTTTCATTTCTATTCCTGTATCTGAATATCCAAAAGTCATTTTGGTTTGCGAATACATAGGAAAATGAGGTGAAAAGCATCAAAATTACAGTACACATTTCAAACAAACTTTGACAAAAACTGATTTAATGACATAAACTGACATGAACTATAAACATGTGCTATGATTTGTACAGGGCAGAGAGCACTATTTTTGTATCAACTTTTCATCCCCTCAGAATTTCAATTCAAATTTACCTTGAAAAGGGTTTTAGTAAATCAAGTTAGAGAAGAATTAAAAAATTCATGGGCAGTAAATGTTTCAATGATTTATTAAATATATTGATTTCTAACAAACAAATCAATTTGGTATCAATTATTAACCTGTAATCAAACCCTGAGAATTTGCGATGATGCTCGATCACAAACAGATTTGCTACTTCCTTGGCTTATTTCTATTCTAGCAAACGTCCCCGCTACATAACCTTTAGTCACCCTTTCAGGGTTCACTACCAAACAGTCTTGAATATTCTGTAACAACGATAATGCTTTAAAAAGTGCGAAATATTAGAAAAAGGATATGTAGAAAGCAAAGCAAAAAACAATTGAATAGTTAGGTAATTGTATAACAAGGGGAGAAAGTGGCACCTTTCCTTCCAAGGATGAAGCGTAGCTTTATTTTTGGCACTTAGCATCTTTGCTTTGTTTTGTTTGGAGCCAATGTAGTTTTCGTGATATTTTCATTACCAACATTATCATACAGATGGTATCCCCCGGAAGTACTCGTATTTGACTGATTACAATCAATCAATCAAATTAACTACAGTTCTAAACACACTAAATGGACCACTCATAATTTGACTCTATTTTGAAGATCTGTATTTTTTGAAAAAATTGACCGATCTTCATGCGATTTTCGATATCAGATGTGATGTTTCATCGGCTTCAAAGAGAGCAAGATCACTCTGGAAAAGTCCGCAGAACAAAACTTACACAGGGTGTAAAGTGGAACCATTGCACTATGGTCTACATTTTCAATGCTGCCAGAACTCGAAAAAAAATTTTCTGATCAAAAGTCAGTCATATTATGATACACTGGAACCTCATCTCGGGACGTTTTCGTGATTTCTCCTGAATCCCCCTTCAATCTCCCATTGGAACAAAAATACGATTTTTTTTTCGTAAGTCTTACATTTCTTGAATTTTTTCTCTAGAACTCCACTTGAGCTGACTATTGGGAAGAACTGTTCTCATGTTTTGTGGAGGACAATAGAAGACGAGAAAAGCACTATTGTGGAATATACAGGATGATAAGAAAATAGGACAAAATCTCATTTCAGTTCAAAAAATCAAATATGGTGACTAAAACCATGGCCCATTCGATTCAGTATATTCAGAAACGGCCTTCTCGATATCCATTATTTATATTAGACTATTAACTCGAAACGTTTCCGAAAATTCGCCTCTAATTGAAATACAGGATGAAAATTTTCAATTCAAACTTGTTTCCTGATATCGATGATTCTTATCAACTGATTTCCCAATGTTTTGAAACACTCAGTATATTGAACAACAATACTCTGTGTCCTGGAAATTTTCATCCTGTATTTCAATTAGAGGCGAATTTTCGAGAACGTCTCGAGTTAATAGTCTAATATAAATAATGGGCCATGGTTTTAGTCATCATTTTTGTTTTTTTTTTACTGAAATGAGATTTTGTCCAATTTTCTTATCATCCTGTATATTCCACAAAAGTGCTTCTCCACAAGAAGAACAGTTCTTTTCAATAGTCAGCTCAAGTGGAGTTCTAGAGAAAAATTTCAAGACATGCAAGACTTGAAAAAAAAATCGAATTTTTGTTCCAATGGCCGATTAAGGAGAAATCGCGAAAACGTCCCGAGATGAAGTCCCAGTGTATCATAATATGACTGACTTTTGATCAGAAAAAAATTTCTCTAGTTCTGGCAATATTGGAAATGTAGACGATAGTGTAATGGTTCCACTTTACACCCTGTGTAAGTTTTGTTATGCGGACTTCTTCAGAGTGTTCTAGCTCTCTCTGGAGCCGATGAAATATCACAACTGATATCGAAAACCGCATTAAGATCGGTCAATTTTTTCAAGAAATACAGGTCTTCGAAATAGAGTCAAATTATGAGTGGTTCATTTAGTGAGTTGAGAACTGTAGTTTGGTTCGAAATTTTTTGCATGATATTGAGCCAGAAAAAGTACTTCTCCTCCCTAGAGAGGAAAGATACAACTTTGCTCCCTACAATGAGGCCAGGAAATGTATATTTTGGATAGAGGTAGGCGGACAAATTTAATTATTAAAATCAAACAGGAAACTCGTTTTAATTACCTTGATAAAATGGCGCAAATTTGAGGGGAGCACCAAAATGTGTGGTTTGCAGTGCAAAGCGCCAAATTGTTCCAGCAGCTCATGGTCTATACACATATCCTTGAGAGGAGGATACAGTGGATAGAAGCTATGTTGGTTCAAAATATGAGATGCCATACGACCCATCCTATCTACGGGCCCATTAGAATTTTTGTCCCTAGAAAAAAAATTTAAATGTTGAAAAATCATGGGCAAGCTCATGATTTTTAATTTACATTGAAGTTAGAGGTTTCTAATAGTTCGGGATACAGCGACATTTTTTACACATTTGACAAAGCATAATTTCATTATTGACGCAATATTTCATTATAATAATATGTTATTTATTTTTGTTTTTATATTGTGATAGCGCTCCCTGCTCCAAATATTGTTTTTCTTGACTTATTTTCAAATGTTTATGTATTTGTTACCTTATAATTATGTGGAAAAAAAAGTGACTCACAACAACGTATCATAAATTCTACAGGGTGAACTAGAGACATGAATCGGCCGATCGAAATCAACTTACCTCAATAGGAAAGTGTACTGTTGAGCCGCTAGAGGACAAATAATTGAAAAATAATTTTATTTGTGATTTTCTTGAATATTTCAAAATCCTTTAATGGTACTACTCTAAAATTCGTAGGGAAATTCACTATCGTAAATGTGCATCAAAAACATGTCATACCACTTGATCAAAATACAGGGAGATAGATATTTCGCATTCTCTTTGATGAAAATTGAGTACGCCACTGATAGAACTTCGATATTTCAACGAACGACAAAATCAATAATTGTTAGCATCTAGCAACTAGATGCGCCACTGCATAGTGGAATGTGCTTAGATCAGAGCCTATGACAGACGTGTGTGAAGACTGGTTCATATAGTATTCGGCCAGGCAGCCGAGTGGTGAGCAAGTGTAACCCTTGTCCATGTCATTTGTGCTCGTGTTCATTGAATTATGACCATAATATATCAATAATATAACTTTTTTCTAACTGCAGTTTCTTTATAATTCTTCTTCCTTTTCGAGATATCCAACAAAATTCATTTTGGTGCTTCTCCATACTTGTTTATTATGTCAGAATGACCTATCATGTTTTGCAAGTTTCCACCTTATTTGTGTTGAGTTATTGACTACAACATGTTCACCATTTTGCAAGCTCATCATCATTTGATCTGGGAGCTGATAATTGCCATATTGACTTTTTTGTGGCAAAATTATTACTTTATACTGAAATAATAACACAATGGAGTCATTGTGATATCAGATACGGAAAAATATTTTTCTAAATTTGACATGTAATGTGACACTTTTCCAACATGACGGAAGTTTTGAAACGTATTACTTTACGTAACCAGTTGCGTAAAGTAAAATATTACATAACTGGTGATGAAATGGTGATTTCAACACCAGTTACGTAATAAAAATATGCTTTGTTGGTTCAGACCCTTCCTTCCCATAGGTGGTATCTTAGACGACAGTGTCCCGTAAGCAGTCCTGTAGGAATTCACAGGTTACCCCTGCTGCATTCTAGGATCGGCCTGGTTATATTTTTGATGGTTCAGGCAGAAACGCCTTCAAATGGGTTAATCCTGGTAATTCAGACCAGTACGCCTTTTCCCCTCCGCCCAGTCAGAGATAGTTGTTTTGGCCGCACTGCGGTGATCCCAAAGTATGTTTCTGGTCCTATGAACACATATTCGGTTACCTGTCGGCTTCCTCGTTGCCCTCCACCCCCTGAGCAAAGTAACTCTGTTGTTTGCACCCAGGCATTCTAGGGATTCAATACAGATCCATACAAGCTTGGAATTTATCTTGGTGGAGCTCAGTGCTTCAAGAGCAGCCTGACTGTCTGACAACACTGATGTTTTTGTTTACTAGAGGTCTATTCGTCAACTCTCTAGCACACAATTCAATTGCGAAGACCTCCACCTCATTCCGCCTGAAAGATTGTAGCATACTTACCGAGATTGACAAGAGATTTCCGTCTACGGTTTTCTGCTGAACACACCGGCTCCAACTCCAACAGGGGTTTTCAAACCATCTTTGTATATTATGTGTTCGGTCTCTGGGAATTGGACTGATCCACTTACCCACTCGTCTCTATGCGGGAAGAGGACTTTGGTCTTTGAAAGACTTTTTCACGTGTGTCTGAGAAGCCAACATGTCGGGAACCATTCCTAGAGTTTGGTGATTTTTTATTCAACACAGTATCCCAGAGTAGTCCAGCGGTCGCCACCCTCTAATTTGATTTTCCAGTGACAGGAATCTGTAGGAAATCATCCTAGCTTCCCTCTCCAAGACAATGGGGAGGGGACTGAGGTTCAGGAGGTTTTTCATCGCTGCCGTTGGAGTAGAGGACACACAACTATTTAGTAATGAAAACTCATTTTGTTCAACTCTGTATTCTGCGCGATCTCGCTTCGCTCGTCCCCCAAAATCTCCTCGTCACACAAAATTACGCGTTTCCTAACTAGTTACGTAAATATCTTTTTCCGCAAATCGCTAGGAAATTTTGAAATTCCTGTCAAAATTTCTTGAAGAAAAAGTCAGGACTTCCTTACTGTGAGGAAATGTCATTTCCTTACTGTAAGGAAATGATATTTCCGTACAGTTGTTAGTGTTCTACATAAATGATTGAAAACACATTGCTTATAAGGAATTAATTTATATTTTGAAAACATCAAGTCATTGCTGAATACATTTTTGAGATCAATTTGTTATATTTACAGTAATTTGACAGTTAGTACAATTATTGAACATTGGAGGAACACTGTCAGAACTATGAGAAACATTTTGGACAACATGCGGGGTGGTAGGGTTATTTTGTTGAATATTTTGTACTGTCAAAATTTTATTTGCCACCTCAACCTTATTGTTAAGCGATTCTTCGATATATCCTTCAGCAACGTTTGATGACTTCCATCCGCCATGCCTCTTTAAACTAGTTATGTCGGCACCAGAGTCAACAATTATTGTTGCAGAAGACCGACGAAAGCAGTGACCAGTATATTCTGTCGGATTTACCAAGTTCAAATAAGTAGCAACTATTCTGGGCATTTTTCTAAATTGATGAATTCCTACCACTTGTCTACAACCCTTTCCGCTTTGATATTTGAAGAAAAATCGGTCACTGTTCATATTTTCTGATCTTAACGAAACATACTTTCGATAAACATTCAAGTAGATCTGATTGATTACAAATTATCTTGGTTTGTTGGTTTTCGAATCAGGTATGCTGATTAAAAGCTTAGATTCTTGGTCTTCTATATCGTGTACAGTTATTCGGACTAACTCATCCATTCTACAGGCCCCAGAAATACCAAATATTACAGCCACCTAAAAAATAAATAAAGGTATAATCTAAATAGAAATTAAAACCTTATAAATTACCTTAATCATTAAATTTTCTTTATCTGGAGCTTCCTGGATAAATTTTTCAATTTCTTCCTTCGTTAAAATCTTAGATTTCTTTGCCCTATAACCTTGAGCTTGCCGTTTCAATAAAGAACGAAGTTTTGATTATGTAGATATATCTACATTGTGTTTAATTGCAAGGGTTGACTTCAGCATTGAATAATTGGCCTATAATGTTGAAGATTTCATCTTTAAACAAAGGTCTAGAAAGTATGCCATTACAACATTTTCTGAGAAAGAACTCGTATTTTTACTCATGCGATAATCCATAAAACGTCTGTATGCATTTTCGTACTTTTCTCTTGATTTCTTTGGCAATAATTCTAATGAAGCAGTATTCACTGCCTCAACCAGCTCTGGAGGAGTCCCAGGAATGGAAATTTCATCATCACTTATCATTTTACTTTCGAGAACACCAGCAATTAAATTTATAAGCGTCAAGTTTGACAATTCAACCTCAATACGTTTCCATAGTAACCCAAGTAATTTTATCAGGAATTTCAAAGCACCATTTATTTGGGAATAAAATTATCGCGTTTTTTTTTTAAATCAATCAATACCTGTCGAATTTTAAACGATTTGCGGAAAAATAGTATGTTTACCTCGTAGGAAAAGCCACATTCCTGGACTCTGTGTTGCTAAGTCTCGGCTTGCGCCTCGACTAGCAATCTTCACAGTCGCCCAGGAATGTTAAGCTTTTCCTACCCGGTCAACAATGTACTATTACATACTCACAAATATAATTCAAAATTGCTGATATGTAACAACACATCAGCAGTCGTCGCCCCAATAACAAGCCCATTGATATCAATCAAACAAGGATCCGGGACGAAAGTGAGGTTGGGATACTGCTCTATGATCCTATAAGGTGGCGTCGGATACACAGGGTGATGATGGGCGTCCTTTTGCGAAGAAACTACAACGACATGCACGGCAACTTGTTGAAGGTTGTTCATGATATTTTCTATCAGCCCCTCGAAAAACGAATCGAACGTTTGGGGCAACCCTCCGTTGTGGATGCTTCCATGGGAACGTTCGAGGAAGGGCCCCATCAATATCAAAACGTGGGGTTGGTGCTCTGTGACGTACTTCAGAAGGTCGTGTAGGGGCTCGTAAGATAGGTTGTCTTGTAGCGTGAATGGTCCTGTTGCTACCACAATTTGCATGGGCTCTAAAAATTTAACATCTGTGAGACTCAATTCAGTACAGTATAGGTACGACATTGTGTCATTAGTAATAATAAGAGTGAAATGAAGACAAGTACAGAAAAAAGTGTATTTTCACTGATGGTGGTTTTAGGCGGAGGTAAAATAACAAGTGAGGTACGTAGTTTTTGAAAGGTATCAAATTAGTATAGATGTAGTGATGTAGTTTTCATTAGGTATTAGATTAGTATAGAGGTCAGAAAATTTATACGACGCTATAAAAGCAGATGATATTTTATCATTGCTCATGTACGATGGAAGTAGAGGCCACATCATGAGCATATTTTTATATTGAAACTATCATTGGGCACCAAAAGATGTGTATACGACGCTATGAAAGTTCAGAGAACTGGAGATTTTTTCCACAAACTACGTTACTTAGCCCACTCGACTGTCTTGGTTTTTCCACACAAACTACGTACCTAGGCCACTCGACTGCCAATAGGGACTAAAAAAACAAAAACAAAAGAAAATTAAAACAATGCCAACATATTTCTTCTTTGTGGGAATATGTACGTAGTTCATTGGCGAAAAATCAAGACAGTCGAGTGAGCTAGGTACGTAGTTTATGGGCAAAAAATTAAGACAGTCGAGTGAGCTAGGTACCTAGTTCATTGGCGAAAAATAAAGACAGTCAAGTGAGCTTTTTTTACTTTCTTTTGTTTTTTGTTTTGTTTTCTATTGGCAAGTGATTATCTAGGAACTTGTAAATTTTTTAGTTTTTTCATCTTATCTCCCGAACTATTGAATTCAGAGAAAAATGTTATACGGATTTTTTGTAGATACTATCAAAAGGAATAATTTTGGTTCTATAACATTTTCAAATATTTTCAGTTGTTTTAGAGATATTTGTAATCATCTGAGAAAAAAATTTTCAACACTTTTGTTCCATCTTCCAATCAACGAAAGGAAAAAATATTTCATGGTTCAGTGGAAGTCGATGAGCTTCATCTATCGATAAACTTTGTTTTTCAATATATCTTCATGGTACCCTAGGGATCGTTAATTTTTTTTTTTCATATTTTTTACTTTATTTCCTGTACTATTGGGTTTACAGAAAAAATTATGGTTAATAATTTGTAGGAAATGTTCCAGTGGATAACTTCTGATAATTTTCGATTTTTCCATTTGTTTTCGATATATATTGAATTGAAAGGATTTCAAATTTTGATGTTTTGATTTTCATTTGTTTTTCCATTTTCCGATGGATGCACGAAAAAATGGTGATGAAATAATTTGTTGCGTCATCAAAGAGGCATACGGTGCATTTTTCAAATTTGGATTTACTCTATTGGTTCAGGAGATATGTCGTTTTACAGCGAACCGTGTGTTTCGGAAAATCTCCTTGAAAAACCCACTTTGTTTGATTCGAATTGAGACAGTTTCAGTACTATAGTTATGTTCTCAAGCTAGATGTTTACTCTAGTAGGTAGATTTCAAAAGGCCATTTTCCGATGAAGAACAGAGAGAGATATGTTGGAAATGTATTACGATTTTCATCGAAATGTTCAAGTCACAAAGTGAAACATATTATTTAGAATGTTTTCTGGGAGACACCAACCAAATATTGGATATTCCTGGCAACACATCTTTCTTGGACTGAACAACGAAAAAACAAAATAACTGAAACTATTGTAAATATCTATACCTATAACGAAATAACATTTTGTTTTAGTTGCATAAACTCAATTGATATAAGTTTTTGCTACCTGAAGTTGATTATACAGGCCAGGTAGCGGAGGCAAGCAAGGCCTTCAAACAGTTCCAACTATTATCGGGACAATTAATATCAATTAGGATAATTTCGAACAAGTGGGGAGTTACAGATAGCAACAGCGCAACAGAGATGGCATCACAACATCAACGAATTAGAGAGAGGCAGAGAAACGCTATCGATTCAAATTACTCGGAATTATATATACTTACCTAATTATTGTATATATGTAAAAGTTATCCTGCTTGTTGAATATTCTGAGCATATAGTTTGACAACAGAACTTTGTTTGGTAAATATAGTTAATTTGATAAGCCCTTCACATTTGAACGAATTATAAGATGTCGAATTTACGAAAGATCGAGAGATGGCTACAAGCCTAGAAACATAACCTAAAAATTAATGGATTGAATGAATTGAAAAGGAATATTCTCAGATATATTATAAACATGAAAAAATGGATACATTTGAATAAATACATTGAGAATTCGCATTCTCTATGTGATGAAATTATTAATTCTTTCTCGGCATATTCAACAGAAAACAACTACTTTCCTGGCTATATGCCACGACGAACATTGAATTATATCAATTGAACATACACGATAGGAATTTGAGCATAAAATATAATATATATCTGAGAATATTCCTTTTCAATACTTTCATACCCAATCAAGGGGTTCAAACTTGAACGATGGAAACTTGTTATTTTTATAGACCTTCAATCGCAGATTCGTGATTGGGTTTTTCTCAATTCAGAATTTCTTTCCACGCCCTGTATGATAAATGTCAGTTTGTCATACATCTAAAAAAAAGGATTGAATGAAGTTCAACGAGGTAATTAGAGAATTTTCACGAATTTGGCAAATAAATCATCCATATTTTCTGGATGAAGTCCTTAAGGGGCATGCATGGAATATTAAATAGGTATCAAACTTTGATATTCCGGTAAGATAATTATGTACTATTGTAAAAATTTCACAAAGGAAAAAGTAAATATAGCTCCTAAACCTGAGCCATGGGAAAAGTTGATACTCATTATAACAAGGGACCCTCATGTCCATAATAGATATATGTTATGATTTGTAAGTCAATTTTAATAGTTCTCATTTGATTCATCTGTTTGAATAAATATATATTTTTCTTTCATAAGATTATGTTGGCATAATATACCCTCATCGAATTTGAAGCATTTCAATATCGAGAAACCTAGATTGGAATCATATTGTAAACAAAGCAGTTATAACTAATAAGTGAGGTGAATTTTCTATTTCAAATCGAAAATAACCTATTTTTTGCCAATGAAATAGGTACCTAATGAAATTTTCAATGCATTGGAATATTATTTTTTCATCACCCCATCTTTCTCAATACCCTGTGACGATACCTATAGCTGTCCCTTATTCATACAAACTCTGAAAAGGTAGCTCACCATAAAATTACCAGTGGCGTAATAAAGAGAGGTCCAAAAAAAAAACATTGGCGGATGATGAGTATATTTAAATTCATTGGGAACTATACCTTATTAAACATATATGTGAAAATGATTGAAGTAGTGGGGTATTTAATGGGGAAGGTCCAGTATATAATTTTAGACATCCCCAGAGTGATAACAAGAAGTTACATTATAAATTAGGAATACTAATTTTAGTTTTCAACAGATACATTTGTAGCATCATTTTTCATCATCATGTAATAAGTATGCCTATCAAAAAACAAATTCGACCATCCATATGCATTGAATTTTTTTAATGACTGAAAAAATAAAAAAAATATTGGTGGTACATTCATTTTACTTGATTATTTGGGATTCTCTCTCCTCGATTTTACAAAATAAAAATATGGGTATAATTTCAATATTCAACAAATTTTTCTATTAGGGAGCCTAAAAGAAAAATCCAAAAGCTTATTGTCAGTAACACTTTGTTTGGAAAATGTTTGAAGATACGAAACATAGATATATTGAGAAAATATCGAATTTTCACTTATCATTGGACGTTTCTGGAACGAATCTGCTCCCGTTCTCAACATAAGAATGCAAATATTCTTGCATGTTCATGTTATGTTATGCAAATATTTTTGCATTTTTATGTTGATGCCAATATTTTTGCATTTTTATGTTGAGAACGGGAGCAGATTCGTTTCCGAAACGTTCAAAGATAAGTACAAATTCGATATTTTTTCAATATATTTATATTTCTTCTCTTCAAACATTTTTCCAAACAAAGTGTCACTGACAAACTATTGGATTTTTCTTTCCGGTTCTCTGATAAAAAAATTTGTTAAACGCAGTGACATTTTGAGGCAAATAATCTGATTTGTCCTACTACACATATATTGAAATAATACTAATACTTTTATAGATCACGCAAAATCAGGTGGAAAACAGCAAACACAATGCGCATATATTTTCAATTTTTTAAAAAGGCAGATTTTAGAAAGGATTAAAACGTATTCACTTTTCTGGAAATCGTTAAGTACGTCTAAAATGGGAGAAAATAAAACACCACACTCTCAGCGTCTAATTCATTTAATATCAAACGTATAAATATTTAATATATATTATATTGCTATCAACAACTATCAACTCCAAAAAATCACAAACATTCCAGCTTAATCTTGTCGTACAGAATTCGAGTCTATTTGGGAAAAATAAATTTGAAAACGTTGGCACTTCTTACCACGAGTGAGAAGTACTACCCAAACTAAAGTTCGTGGAGCCAAACATTGTTAATCAGAAAGAAATGCAGAATTTCGAAGAATTACGTCTACAAACTGATCAGGCCATTCCTCTGAACTCTACGAGTAAAACAGATATTGACAAAACCTTGATAACGCTTGTGAAAAAAATGTACCCTATTTGGGATAGGACCTGTAACAATTACCCCAATAAGCAGCTCAAGAATCAGCTATGGGAGAACATTGGTACACAGCTCAACTTGGACAAAAACGCTTGTATGCTCAGATGGAAATCTTTGAGGGAAAAATATATAAGGCAGAAAGTGAAATACCATCAAGACGGTGAAAAATGGGAGTTACTGGACGAATTGAGTTTCTTAGGTGAGTTTGTTCGAAGGTTCTTAACAAAATCATAATATATTCGGTCTGGCCTCATTTTTTTTGTATGGAACATATATCAGTCACAGCTGGATCTATTAAGACTTCAACTCGGAAACATTTCAAAAATTCTTTCTCAATTCGCAACTGGAGTATACAGGGTGTTTCATAATTGAATGCTGATCCTCAAGGGCGATAATCCTAGGATGATTTCAAAGAGAAAAGTTCATATCAACATATATCCTAAACCTCTTAGTTATTGAGCTACAGGGTGATGAAATTTCAAGAAAAAAATGAGTTTTTCATCATAATTTTTCATCACTCTTAGATATTGTTATGATATTTTGTATACACCTTTTCATTATTGAGGAACATTTTTTTACGTGAAAGATATTTAAAAATTCTCACCAGTGGCGTCCGTACGGGGTTTGAACTGACAATTTTTGAAGAAAAAAATAGTACGCCACTGATTTTTTTGAGAACCAGATTCTTTTTTCAATTCTTATTCATTTTGGAGCAAATTTGGTACCTAGACTTACTTTCATACAACGTACCGTTTTCACGTAAAAAAATAAAAACCAAAGAATTTTGTTCCTTCAGTTCTTGGATATTGTTTTTGGTATTTCAGTAGACACCCACTATAAGTGGAAACACATTTTGTTTTGGGACGAAAATCAAACTTTTCCTTTTACCAGTGATGTCCTCGTAGACATGATATTGAATGTTTTGTTTAAAAAAACGCTGTACGCTTCTGATTTCAACACCCTGTAGCTCAAAAACTAAGAGGTTCAGGACATATGTTGATATGAACTTCTCTCTTTAAAATCATCCAAGGATCATCGCCCTTTAGGATCAGCATTCAATTATGAAACACCCTGTATATAAATAAAAAAGGAGATTTTTTTCTACAGTCCCGAATGTATTCGTATTTTTATTTGAAATTGCCTTAACACTGTTGATGGAAAATAAATACTGTTTCCATGTTTTGACACTTCTTGAAAATCGACCACAGACAAAAAGAAATAGCTTAGTATACAAGGTGATCGCATAATGTATAAGTAAGTAGGTAGTTTTCATCCTCTTTTTTTTTCAGGATTTTTTTCAATCTCCGATCTCCTTTTTTTCTTGTTTTTTTTTTTTGACGAATCCTATACAAATCTTGTAACTTTGTCTTAAAGGAAAATAAAGGTCGTTATTATTATTATTATTATTTCTATTATTATAAAACATGGGAGAACACGTTTTTGGACAAAAAGTCACTAACAGAGATTGAAACCATGGCTCATCTCCTTTTTTTCTTGTTTTTTTTTTGACGAATCCTATACAAATCTTGTAACTTTGTCTTAAAGGAAAATGAAGGTCATTATTATTATTATTATTTCTATTATTATAAAACATGGGAGAGAACGTTTTTGGCCAAAAAGTCACTAACAGAGATTGAAACCATGGCTCATTTGTTTCAAAGTATTCATGAACGTCTTTTTCAAATGTTCATTCTGGACTCTGAACAAGTTAAAAACTGAAGAATTATTTTCAACAATCCTGTACATTTTTGAGAATCAGAGAAACATGAAACAGGGTCTAGTTCTCGTATCCGTTTTCGAAAACTGTGATAGATAAGTTGACATAAATTAGGTTATGTAAACTCAGCACCATGTGAAATAAAATAAGGTTTCTATTTAAAATGAGAAAGTTGGTGCTGACTTTTGGCACACCTTGTATAGCTAGAGGACCACAAATTATTTCAGGTAGATTGGAAATGATGGATTATATATAGATAGATATATAGATGTTTATTGACTACGATACGTAAAAAATAACATTTGTAGCAAGTCACACAGATGTATACAGGGTGAAGAGTTCAACTGGAATAAATTCGCTACTGGGGAAGTGCATGATTTTTCTGAAAATTCAAGTCAACGTTTAAATGTGTTTACCTACACTTGGCGAACAATATGGAGAATATATCCTTTCAGGGGTAGCTGGAATTAACCCCAACATGATTTTTTCAAATGCAACCCTATGGCTGGCGAGCCCTCATTGGAAAGCTGGTTGAAAGAGGAATCAAGCGTACTGATCATATCTCAGTTTGCAGTACGTTTGGGGGTCTCATGATATCAAAATATAATTGCAAAGTTCAATATATTTTCAACATATTTTCATCAAAATTCCGACTTTTAGTAACAGTGATATAGGGCATTTCCACCTGTTTGCACTTCGTTTCGAACTGTGAATACGGCAAAAAACTTATTTCTTTTTGCGGCCCAATAAAAAAAACATTGGGATACAATAGCAGATAGCAGTTGTGGCAAAAAATTCCCTTTATCAACACACATTTTGATCAATTGATACGTTGAAAAAAAATTGAATCTCAAAATTACATAACGAATTTATTCCAGTCAAAGTCTCCACACTGTAGATGTAAATAACAGATCAACAGACATTAATAACTATCTTAATATCTACATATAAGGAGTATGTATATGGAATATAAAATGGTGCTTTTACACTAATGCATTTGGAATCAATAATATCCATGTACTACATAGAGGAAAATAAGTGGCAACGTATTCCTGTTTCTGAGATTAGATACACTCTTCCACATATTATGTTTGTGTGAATGTATGAATAATAAGGGTGTTGTTTATATATTTCAGATCGAGTGATTCAATTTAGAAAGAAGCTTTCGGATCACGACCACAACCCAAAAGACCCCTTTCTGGACAACCTTCAAACCAGCAAACACTTCCCAACGTACCCGAAACACTCAGACACTTCGCACTTTCCTCAAGAAACCGACAGCAGTTTTTCACAGGTATACAAAACCGACACCGCCTTTTTGGCACAATCAAATGAAAACCATCTAGTATTTAATAACTATCAATTAACTATTTTTCAACACCAAACCAAATTTTTTAACTCAAGCGATTAGCGAAAAAATGGTGTTGGGCCAGCTTAACCTCAAGCTAGCACAACCTTTTCACATTTTTCCACTCAAATATGTCATCGACATGATTCAAAGGCTAACATTTTTAACTTTTCAATAACTTTCGAATGGTGTATCGATAATCTGAATATAAGCAATTTGAATGTTGTTAAAAGGGACAAATATGCATTCAATACCTAAAATACATGTGAATTTTTTCATGTTCTTATAATACTTCCTCTTTCGAATATTTTCCATCACAACTGTACTATTTTTGACAAATATACCATCTGAATTCACATTCCCCAAATTCTGATTGTGCTGAAGATATTAAATAGTAGATCAACGAAGACACTCTCTAGTGACCATATTGCCATTTTCAGTCGTTATAAAAAGTTTTCTGTCGAATATTCTCCATCACAACTTTACTATTTTTGAAAAATGTATTATCTGAATCCACATTCTTTCAATTTCAGCTGATTGTGCTGAAGTTATTGAATATTAGATATACGAAAACACTTGTTAGTCATCATATTGCCATTTCCTATAATTTTTTTTTCATATATTTCCCATCACAACTGTACTATCTTTGAAAAATATATCATCTGGATTCACATTCTTTCGATTTCAACTGATTCTGCTAGAGTTATTGAATAGTAGAACAATGAAAGCACTCATTAGTCATCACATTGCGATTTTCTGTCCTTATAATACATTTTCTTTTGAATATTTCCCATCACAACTTTGGAAAATATATAATCTATTATCATAATATGTTGATTGTTGCTGAAAAAATACGATTGAGAATTGCATGAAAAAATTTACATGTATTTTTGTCCCTTTTAAAAATATTCAAATTTGCTCAAATTCAAATTATCGATACACCATTCGAAAGTTATTGAAAAGTTAAGAATTTTAGCATATTTGAATTATGTCCATAACTCATTTGTGTGGAAGATTGTGAAACGGTTGTGCTAGCTTGAGGTTAAACTGGCCCAACACCATTTTTTCGCAAACCGCTTGAGTTAAAAAATTCGGGTTGGTGTTAAAAATAGCTAATTAATAGTTATTAAAAACTAGTGATCGACCTATATGACTTTTTTAGCCGATACCGATAATCGGCCGATACCGATAATGTCTTGGCCGATAACGGTATATATCGGCATATTGGACTTTTTTAATTGATAACATTCATTATTAATTATTATTGTCTAAAATCTCTAAAATCTGAATATTCTGTAGTATAATTTATAATTCTTTAACGTTCAATTTAAAATCATAAAAATAAAAACAAAAATTGCACTTTGAATGAACCGTAAATTCGGCAAAAAGGAATCGGCTGAATCCAGAAACAACCGAGACACTAATTTTTTTACATGATAATTTGCCAAAACTACGATATTCATATTAAATATTACTTCAAATTTAAATATAATAGTAGATTGTTTTATTAGGATCAAAAGTGACACTTTGTTTGACAAGCGAATTTTGCATTTGCGAGGCGGAGCGTTTAGCGAAGCCGAGCGAAAGCAAAATTTGATTTGATAATCGAATGAAGCTTAACAATATCGTTGTTTGAGACAAAAAAACTATTGCTTGCCGTGATTTTTCAAAAACAAGTTATCCATCCCGAGAATAACGAATGAAATACAGATCAAGCAAGTATTTGAATCTTGAAGGCTTTCCTGATCAAAACAAAAATACTTAACTGAGATGTTTATAATTCCAATACTAAACTATAATAAGGTGTATTCATATCTCCAGCATGTGTATGAAATGCCAAATCTGCTGAAATCGGAAATCAGGTATGCACTCAACCTAAATAACCAACCGTCACAATGTTGTTTATTCTTGATGACGTCCAGTACATCCTTTTTAGTTCCTAGGAGCTAAAGTTCAACTTCAGCTCCTAGGAACTAAAATTTAACTTTAGCCTCTAGGAACTAAAAATGTTGCCTAGCAACATACCTATTTTTGTGTCAGTAATAGAAACGTCACTTTCAGAGCTAATTTTGGTATCAAAATGGACGACTTTTGTGTCGGTTGCAGAAAAAAGAAATGTTTTAAGCTGCTATGGTTGTCTTTATTTATACATCGGCCGATATAGCCGATATATACTCACATCTATCGGCCGATATAGCCGATATATCGGCATCGGTATCAGTCGATCACTATTAAAAACTAGATGATTTTCATTTGATTGTGCCGAGACGGCTGTGTCAGTTTTATATACCTGTTTTTCACCAAGGCTGTTTTTCGCAGCTCCATTACAGCTACGAAACGGCAGACGACAGTTCCATGAACGATTCCTCAAATGACTATATGGTACAAGTGAAAAGCGAAAACACCACGATTGAGGTGCCAGACAGCTCTTTCAGTTCGAAATCCAGCCCAAGGAAACGCGGTGGCAGTGTGAACAGCGAAGTCTTTTCGGAGAAAAAATCCAAGACCGAGGTGCCAGGAAGGAGTGCTAGCCCTAGGAGCCCCGAAGAACTGTTTGGGGAATTAGTGGGGGCCATGTTGAGCAGGAAACCCGAGTGTGATAGGAACAGATATATGATAGAGATCATGACAGTATTATCAAAATAAGTTGGCTTTACAAACTTGAAATTCCGTATGAATATTCAGAGTGTGATTTATTGTAGGCACCTACTTTTTTATTTTAAAGAGATGAGACTAATACTATTTGATGTATTTTTTGTTAACTTACCTAATAAAACTAAACAGGGTCCATTATACAGGGTGATCCACGGTGGATGGCCTATTAGAAGTATCTGGAGAACGAAATGACAGAACATTCTGAAATTTGGGATGCTTTGATAATTGAACATTCTCTATCCGTTTAAAATATTTTCATCGATACAGTGTTGCCACTTCTAACAGAAACAACTAGCAACTTTGTTATATCAAATGGAACACCCTGTATTTTATTGCATTTTTAGATTCTTCCTGAAGAGCTGACTTGGGGTCTAGCAGGAATGATTACAGAGATATAGGGTGTTCAAAATCGAGATTTTTCAATTTTAGGTTTTTTTTGTGTAGAAACTATTTATTATCGATCAAAATGGCTCACATTTGTCAATTTTTGTTGACATGCATCATCAGATACTATTGGCACGAATTCAATACTATACCCGAAACGTGGATGCCGTGCAATATGTATGCAATGCAAAAAATAATCCGTGTGGTGAGAATATCGGAAAAAGAAGTGGAAAATGTTAGGTTAGTGAGCACATCAACAATAATAATAGCGATTATTTATTTCTCTCCATATTCCACTGTGTTTGGCTCGGTAATCAAATGAAGATAAACAATATCGTTGTGTGAGACAAAAAAGTATTGCTGGTCGTGATTATTAAAAAACAAGTTATCCAATAAATCAGATCCCGAGAATGAATAAAATACAGATCAAGCAAGTATGTGAATCTTGAAGGCTCTCCTGATCAAAACAAAAATACTCAACTATAATAAGGTGTATTTATATCTCCATCAGCATGGATAAGATATGCCAAGTCTGCCGAAATCGGGAACAAATCAGGTATGCGTCCCAACCCAAATAACCAACCATAACAATGTTGTTTATTCTCGATGACCTTATATATCGAAGACTGGAACCTTTGGCACGATAATACACTACACTGTTTTACCACTAACCAAACCGATTTTTTAACGCCTCGACACGTGTCGTATGTATTAAAACTCAAACTCAGTTTTAATCTTCTCCTGAAGATACTAACATAGTTAGCGAAACACGTGTCGAGGCGTTAAAAAATCGGTTTGGTTAGTGGTAAAACAGTGTAGTGTCTCGATGACCTTATTACATGCTTTTTAGTTCCTAGGAGCTGAAGTTGAACTTTAGCTCCTAGGCACTAACAGTGTTACTTAGCAACATACCTATGTTTGTGTCAGTAATAGAGACGTCAATGCAAGAGCTAATTTTGGTATTAAAATGGACTTTTGTGTCAGTGCAGAAAAAAATCATACTATCGACGGACAAATTCTCGACAAAAATAATCCGATTTGAAATACTTTAGGACACCAATATATGTTCAAGGGATATGTTCGATAATTCTGTACTATGCCTTTAAATGAAATTGTATACAGTACAGCTAACTTACCATTCAACACCACTGGTTCTTCAGGCAAATTCAGTTCTGCATCTGTAAAAATGTTCTCGGCAATGAAAGTATTTGAATTGACATTATTTCCTTGGACTACAGCGACTTGACCAGGAAACAAAGAATATTTTGTCATTTTTTGAATATTCAATGTGGAGGCGTGATTCAAGTTTGTCTCGTAAGTACCTTCGAGCAGTATTGATTGAACATTTATTTTACCGTCAGAGTCAGACACTATCCTTCCATAAGTAGTCATTTCGCCCTGAAAACATTACAATTAACTAAACATTTAGTCTTAGCTATGTAAAGTGTATTCTCAAATAAGCCCCTCTATTAATCCTTGTAATATTCACACCCTGTACTCCCTGTAGTATGTATATACATATCGTCACTGGAAAGTAAAAGGTCTAAAGCAACCCCCCAATGAAAAATGAGTCATACTCATGACTAAAAAGCCCGTTTCTTCCTGCATAGTTTCATAGCATTCTGATCATTTAGCTGGCGCTTTAGTCACCATAAAATGGGTACCTATAATTTAAAGTAGCTGCTTAAACGACAGGGAAATTCACATTTTCCTACTATAGTGAAATAAGTCACCTCCAATATTAAATAAACTATCATTACTTATCTCAGTTTTCATTATTTTCTACTATTTTGTTAGTTAATCCATTTGATATGTCATACATAACTATATGGTTTGCCTGTTAGTCAATTCGCATAATTTAATATTTAGAAGGATTGTAAAAACTTCACAAACGATAAGATTTCCACAAAATTCTCAAACACACGACATGTTTCGCTAACACAGTAGCTTCGTCAGGTGATATACTGGTACAATGAACTAAACTAACGTTGGCTTGCTAAACTTTTATATATCTTACTTTCCCAACCTGAAGGATTAGTTACCTGTGGACAGGTACGATAAACCTCCATTTTCGGAAATTAGGCACAATATCTACATTAAATTACGGTATACCGGATTAACTTGAAATAGTTAATAGCAAATACATATTAATACTTACTAAGAAAACAAATTCAACAGTGGTGAACTATTGAGGTCTAATTGATCATTAAGTAAAATGCCAAAATTTTTGAGTTTGTTGATTTCTAATGATTCAAAATGATTGAGTTTCAGTTCTTTATTTTTTACGTGCAGAATTTCGAAATTATCATGGAAACTATGGTTTTCTTCTAATATATGTTTGGCGTATGTTGAATTTGTTTTCTTATTCATAAAATTCATCTTATGTTCATGAATGCGCTGATTGAACGTACGACCTGTCTGACCGATATATACGTTAGGACAAGATCCACATTTGAGTTTGTATACCCCTGATTTTTCGAATTTAGAAGTTTTGTCTTTATTATTCTTGATAAACCGTCCCAACGCGTATTTGTTCTATATGCCACTGTTAAGTCCTGTTTGTGTAGAAATGAAGCTAATTTCTCAGTTGATGATCCGAAATAGGTTAAAGTTCTATAATTTTGATTATTATTCTTGATGGTAGGATAAACTTCTTGAATAGCTGATGAAGTTTTTTAGAAAGAATACTGACTATCAAATTAACGTTGTATCCGTTGTTGACTGCAATCTGTTTCATGATATTGAGTTCTTTATTGAAATTTACTTCCGAAAGAGGGACATTCACTCGCCTGTGTATCACGCTCTCCAGCAAACCTACCAAACTTTTACCTTTCCAGTGACGATATAACTTTCAGAGTCAAGAGTCAATGATGATACACATTTGTCTTTCAACTTACCAAATGGGTTTTCAAAAGACCTTCTGACAAAACTAGCCCATGGTTCTTCAATATATCGTGTCCTAATGTATGTGTCATGTTATTCAGACTTTTAGCTTTTTTTCCCATGATTTCATACATATATCTAACATCGGCGGTCAAATAGTCATCATTATAATTCTTAACAGATATAGTTAAATCAGATTCTCTTTTGAATTTAGCGGTTGTTGACCCGTAGAAACATTGTACTGATCTAGAGTCTGAACGCTGAGTATACTTTTCTGATGTTGAACTAAAACACAAAGAAGTCCATAGCTTCTCAATGTGGAGTAGATTTACACGATCAGGTTAGGTTAGATTTGAATCGTTTTCATAAATTTCTAATTTGGTTGAATTACTTAACTGATTATTTTTTGAATCCAATAGGCTTATCAAAGTACCTAACTACCAAAACAAAAAAGTATGGTAGAGATCCATATTTTCTCAAAGTGAAGTGAATGAGTTTAAGAAACAAACTTCGTAAGTCATCTCCACAAATTTATTATTGCAGATCAGGAACATCTGAACATGTTTAGGACTATCAATAGTCCATCATCAGCAGGATTATTAAAGAAATTTCTACAAAGAAAAATACTATTATAATTTGTTAGTTAAAAAAACTAATGAAGGTAATTCGATTAGTTTTTATATCTAACAAATTGTAATATTGAGGTTGCCTTTTTTCACTTCCACGTGAGTAGATAACTTTCGTCGATTTTTTAGGCTTATAAAAAACATTTTTCTTTGTAGAAATGTCTTTAATAATACTCCTGATGATGGACTATTGATAGTCTGAAACATGTTGGGATGGTCCTGATGTGTACTAATAAATTTGTGCAGATGACTTAGAGTGTGTCTTGTTTCTGTAAAAAACACTATTTTTTACGATTTGACGTCTTCTATGAAAAAAGTCTGGATTTGACCTATATTATTTATGTATGTACCTACATGTACAAGGTCTTCACGTATATTTTGAACCCCCACTCAAAGATATAGGGTGTGAAAAATTGAGATTTTTTTCAACTTTAGGAATTTTTTGTGTCGAAACTATTCATTATCTTTTCATTAACTTTTGATGTATTATCTACTGACATTTAATTGATACGAATACAGGGTGGTGAAAAATCTAGAATTCTGGTGACCCTGTATTATGTCCCTAGATAGTGGATCAAAAGTCAAGATAGGGACTTGATATTGAAAAAATTATAAATGTTGCTATAAGCATGTTTTGAGATGTTCAACTGTTTTTCTGTTGGCATATATAAAATCTACACGCAAAAATATAAAAAAAGGTTCCTTAAAAAAATATTTAACGATACATAAAATTAAGTGGGGGTTCAAAAAATACGTGAAGACCCTGTACCTACTCAAAGGGATATAAAAAAATACAAGGTATACATTATTTTTGAGGAATATTAGGGGCAAACAACTCTCATAATAGTGTACACCATATTTAAAGTATATGATATTTGTAAGTAATGAAAATATTTTAAAAATATTTCGAAATAATTAATGTAATTAAGAAGTACTGAAGAGTAATTAAAAAGGATTTGAGAATTAATCAGAATACTTACGATTCAAGATACTTTGAAAGGAATTGAAGAGAATCTATAATGATATTACTGTATTTGAAGTAATGAAGGAAACTTAGAGCTCAACATAAAATATTATATCTTGATTTTTCTTTCAAATCATTATTTTCTATTTACCGGAGCTATTGAAGGTTCCAAAAATTGCAGTTAATTTGATCAATCCACTATTTTTTCGAGGCTGAAAAAAAAAACTTAGCAACCCCGTTAATTCGGAATGAGGTAATTTTTTGCATAGGGAGTTGCAAAAAAATTCCTAATCTGATTTCATAAAAACCGACCCCTTAATATTTCAATAAAAAAGCACAGCACTGCCCGAAAGGCTGTTCGTCTCTGAAAACTGATCATATTGATGGTTATTCATATCGGTTCAAATCTGGTACGAATCACAGGACTATAATCACTGAGATATGGAGGGGAGCGCGAGGGGGGGCGTTCAAAGAGGTTCGTTGTATAAAATGAATTTTATTTCTGACAGTGACATTATAAGCTTATATCGTCATAGTTACGATATCTATAATGAGGGTCATAACTCCCTTGGGATGTTATAGATGCTATAATTCCCTCTAGCTAAAATTAAATGAGAAATGCATAGCAACAACCACGCAATAACGTAGCAATAAGGAATCTCCTATTCGCGGTAGTCAAGATCATCATCTGACGTTCTGATGACATTGAAACTATACGGAAAAACATGTCTAACTTCCAATCGGGAAGGTATCTAATGAATGAAATCAGTCAGAAATAAAATTATCTATGTATCATGGGAATTATAGAGCCTTAATAACCTCTAGCAATTGCTGTCCCTCGGGCCAGAGGCCCTCGGGACGCAAACTTTGCCATAGGTAATTAAGGCCCTCATAATTCCCTTAATACATAAATAACTATTATTTTTGTATATCAGTATTTCATTTTCGTTGTTGTATTTGTATTCGAGAGTTGATTTAGATAAATATTCATCAGCGAAGAAACATCTGTAGTAACAAAATTATTATGAATTTTTTAAATTCCCAAGAAATTGTTCCCTTTCTCTATGAAAGACAGAGCGCTGGAATTATTTGCGCCACTGCAAACCACTAGTGTAATAGACACTAGTAATCGGTTAGCCAGTTCAGAGAGTCAACCTCCCTCTATATGAAAACTCAAAAACACCGTTCCGAATTTTCTAGTGCTCATCGGGATTCTGGGATTCACTCAGTTGTCAGTTACTAACGCAAACTTAGGCAGACGATAAATGTGAACAACCCTGGGTCGCTCCTCTAATACGAACTTGAAAATGATGCCAGGAGATTTCAAAAGTATTTGAAGTAGTGAAAAATAGAATTACTGTACTGAAAAAGGAATTAAAATATTCTGAAAGTCATTAAAATATTTGAAAAATAATGAAAGTATAGTTAGAATGTATTTAAAATATTCAAAAAGTAATTGGAATTTGGAATACTGAAAAGGTAATGCAAATATTTGATAAATAATCGGAGATATTGAAGATACTGAAATGATGATTTTCAAATAATTAAAAGAATGAAAGGATTTAGGAAAGTAATCGAGTACTCAAAAACTCAGGGTGTACACCATATTTAAAGAGTTGTTTGCCTCTCGGGAATATTGATATTCCATTATTATCTTCTATAACTTACATTGATGGAGTACTATTGCTACTGTAACTTTCAGAAAGATCTTTAGCAATAGGAGTTTTAGGAACTCTCCTCTCGCGGGTAGGAGTTTGAATTTGGTTGCTCTGAAACAAAGGAAATATAGACTTAAGAAGATGAATGTGTGTGATTATCAATCAGTTGTATATTTCATTCAAGAGCATCACAGATTGAACAGGACCCTGAATGGGCTAAACGTCGAATATTGGATGAAACGCTGAATATTGGATAAAATGCGGCATCTCTTTGGACATGAAGTCAACAGCTTCTTACCAGTCCACCCCTCTTTTCAACGGATGAGTGGTTTTTGATTGGATAGCAAAGTTTGAAATTTAGTGACCTAAATAAGTTAAATTTATCATTTGATATTTTGTTTATTGACATGGGACTTCTGATTCTTGACTGGATCACGCAGAGTTTTTTGTAATTTTGTAATCCAAGAGACACAGATTTTTTTCAGTTTTTCTTCATTTTTCGAAATCAGGTGAGAAATAGCGGAGTTGAGATGTGCACGAATATGGTACTAATGAACTCCTTGAAAAATATAAATAGCATAATATTCAATACTTCGATTGATCTACGCACTATTTTCTGAAATGTTTGAATTTAGGAGATAGACTTTTTGTTAAGTCACAGAGTAAAATTTTAATAGGTAATCTGATTCATATATTGTTTTTAGATAGCTGTGACTGAGGAATGTTTTTTCAATAACATTTGCACCAGTTTCCAGTATTTTTCAAACCAATTATTTTATTTTGCAATTTATCGAAATCGGATTAGAAATGGCGGAATTGAGAGGTGAAAAAATAATAAATGTGTTCGGAAAATCATAATATTGTGAAATGGTATAATTTGGACTTTCACATGAACTAAAAAAAAGTAGTTCATGCTGGTCAAAAAATCAAAAAATCTTTTGCTATAAGCAACAAATGCAAAATTTTGATTATTTAAATCTGAGTTTTTTCCTTGAACCGAGCACCACTCCAGAGATACAAAGGGGTGGACCAGTAAAATATTCATTTATCGGTGTTCTGACCAAGGACCAAGAATTCGACGTTTCGACCATTCGGCGATATGTCCGAATCCCATACTCATCAGAACACTTGTGCTGATGGTTAAACCGGAAGTTTAATAAATGAAAACGATCAAATGATAACATAGAATGATCGGCTATAATTCGCATTATTTAATGAAACGGCAAGTATTATCGATTAACCATTAATCGACGCTATGTTCAATTTATTTACTACGAGTAATTGGTACTCAATAAACTTCATGCAACAAAGGAAGTAGGTAACCAAACTCATCAGGGTGAGTTTGAGAACAAGATTAAATAACTTCACAAATCAAGAGCTGAATACTAAAAACGTCAACAAACAGGTTTAGATACCTGATTCATTGCATTGAATCAAATTCATGTAATAAATGACGGATCCTTAATGATGTTAGTCAGATTTGATTCAGTCACAGATTAACGAACCTTCAGTGTGATATTGGATCACTAAAAAGTCCAACAAGAGGAGAATCTGTGTCCAATTCAAAAAAGCGATTTTTGTAAATTTTAATTTGGATCAAGAATTGGAAAACTGACGAATACAAATTTTATTAAAAGCTGCAATTGCCTTTGATTTTAGGTTTTAACAGTAAAAAATGAAGAGATTATTCTGTTTTTTTTTCAATCCTGGATCTGAAAAACATCATTAAAAAAAGTCATGTGAAACCAATGAGAAAAAAATATTTTGGATGCAGAACGAAATTTTTGATGATTGCATAATTTTTGAAAATTGACCAAAATCTTCCCAATCGAGTTATAAACGCCAATGATTCATATCAAACTGAAATGAAAAAGTGCCTTATGAAAGATTCAGGGGAAAATTCATTCTGTATTAAAATTTGAGTTCATGATTTTTCATAACTGATATTGAAAGGTGCATTCATATAAAATAAACACCATATAGAAAATGAGCTATCTACTAATTTTATGAATAAAACTAAATTGTATTACTTGACTGTATTAGTTTTATTTTATCATTCAAGTTAGAGGAGACCCTGGAAAAAATCGTTACAAAACTGCATATTCAGCTAAGATAAAAATATACATATAAAGTGGATGAAATAATCTTTGTGAAATATGACACTCCATCCAGATAAGTACCTATTTGTTTACCTTCATGCCAAACCAAATCATTCTTGGGTAGATAAAAAATGAGTGGTCATAATAACTTGGGATAAAAACCTTACTAAGCAGAACAAGAAGTAGGGTAGGTGTGATCTCAGAATCTATAGGAGATACAATGGATAAATTATTGTGAATTAGGAAGTTGCACATTTGTGTGACTAAAAATATGCCATGGAAAAAATGTTGAATTCCGAATATTCCCAAAGAGATACGAAAAAACGTTATTTGTTGAAGAGTATCAAAAAAGATTACAAATTTACATTGCCACTTTTTCCCTGCTATACTATCTGGCGCCACCAGCATCAACTTTACTTTTTCTCGCAAAATTGGTTAATAATAATAGCATGGTGAATCTGAAAATATCATAGCAGGGAAAAAGTGGCATTGTGAATGTTCTCAATTTTGATGTTCTCCAACAGATAACGCCAGAAAAAATAGAAATGATTTACCAAAATTTCGGTTTTTTTCGTCCGGAATTTTGACATTTTCTCGGCGGCATATTTTTAGTCTTCGTATCCCCTATAGTTTTCGAGATCCGAGAATTTCGGCCCTCGAATTTGAATTACTCTGTTTCAACAACTAAATAAGGAATCTCTATATGCAGGACTAATATAGTACAAACATATCATTATTATCATCTTGGAGAACGTTTTTTTTTTCATTCAATTGAGACTAGTGGTGCTATTTTTTTTAAGTATGTGATCCAAAACATGGTGGGTGATCTAGGTATTTAGCAATGATCTGACATCCTACAGGCAAGTTTACATTTTTGAGATCAGAGTTTGAAGTTCAATTGTTTTTCATTTAGATTATATGAAGCATTTCAATTCCATATTAAGATTGCCAATAATTATTAAGTATTTTAGAAACTTTTGGGACAAAGGAATCTTAGTATATAGGTATCTGAAATTTCTATTCCAATCCATCATTTCATTTAATGAAAACTTATCAATTAGCTGTTTTGTGACCAAACATAATCAGAGAATACATACTCCAACCCCAGTTTGATTTGATGAACATCTATCAATATATTTTCTGGTGGCGCCACTGGTTGTAGAAGCCCCTATAGACGAGTATGGATCTAGTCACGATTCAAAAATCCGTGCACTAGTACCACACGCGCCAACACAGGGATCTGAAAGTTCTTCAGCTGCGGGTAGAAATACCTAATAATTGTTTCGAATTTCGATCGATGAGGCATGAAATGTTCTTAATGAGTGTGGATCTAGTCACGTATTAAATAAAAAACCGTGGACCAGACCCCCACCCACTAAAAGCATTTCACAATTTTACTCTCAACTCCAGTCTTGAGAATAAAAAAAAAACAAAAAACACAAATCACTGACGCTACATTTGAAATATGCCGAATGCTGAACAAGCAAAAAAAAACAATGAACAGTTCTCGAGCAATCGCGAATTGAAAAACTAAGACTCCAATAACGAGTAATAGTCCAAATGATAAGTGAATTGCTGGGGTAACAACATAGGTTAACGAAATTTAACCTTGTAAATAATTTCGTCTACAAACAAAATCTCAGTTAAAGGTTGTTTACACTACTTTGTTCCCTCACAATCGCGAAACAAGGGAGCTGCTATATAGATAAGCCAAGTCGCACTCCAGAAATAACCGTCCGCGAAATGAAGCAACAGGTTGGAAAAAATGCCGGTAACTATTTTCGCATCAAATCTAGCAAACTTTGGAAATAAACCTCAAACACCGCACTAAACAAAAGCCAAGCGTCTTCTACAGATTTAACAATGGCCGCTGAAGGATAAAATAGCCTTGAAAAGTTTCTCAGAAACTTTTGAGTCTGGTGCGCAAGTGCGAAGATTGGAAAACGTCTCATAATGCTGTCTCTCTCGTTTAACGCGTCGAAGCGAGATGCAATTAACGGCCGTCCGTGATTTATTATTGATCATTCATGCGCGACGAGAAAGGCAGAAAAAATGGTGGTAAAACTTTGTAAATCATAAGCATTGCAATATAAGGCATATTATGCATAAGCCAACGTTCCCAACGTTCGTTTTTGCCCGTCGGCGATAATACTCTCGAGTCTCGATCTTTTTTTTGTTGTACTCACCTTCGGAGTTGTAGAATAAGAACTGACCAAGGCACTAGCATCTCTAAATACATATCATTAAGGAATAGTCATCATAAAAATATGATAAAAAAATTGTTTCACGTTTTAGAAGGATACGAGTCGTCTGAAACAATGTAGGAACTTTGTTTCGGTGTGGAAAGAGTCTGTCTTGAAAAACTTTGTTCCCTGTTATTCTGAAATTCTTTCCTCTCCATTTTTTGTAAATGATCAACGGTGGGGAGGGCCCCGTTTAGGTTCGAGGCAGTATAAGCATACCATTGATCACAAAAATCCTCAGCCCCAATATTGTAAGCAATGCACATCTCCAGGCCTAGATGAAGAAATACAAATATAACCTTAAACATCCAGATAGTAATCTAAATTGTACTCACATTTATTGAGAACGTCGTTTGAAGCTGAGATGTTGAGTTCTTGGAAATAAGATGCTATTTCTTCTTTAGACACATTCATGATGAACAAAATTCTTTTAAAATATAAGAAACTATCTACAAAAACACATAACACAACCACTTTCACTAGAATAACAAGATCATAACTTTTTGGCGCGTAAAGCAAGTGGGTTCTAGTCGATTCTACCAACACAAGAAGCTAGTGACTATTTTTGGTTCTTTCGGAGATGAAATGATATATCTCTTTTTGTTTAGTGCATTCAAAGAACAGAAACGGAAAATACTTATCACATGAATATCAACATCGACATCAACATATATTTTTTTGTTGGTGAACATAAGGCACGCCTGATGTCAAAGTTGCCAAACATCAAAATGTCAATTTCTTACTTATTAACCTCACTTTCGATTTAAAATGGAAATATTTTCCGGTGATGATTTCTTGTATGAAATAAAATGATGTTTCATAAGTTTTCAGTAGTATATCGGTGTTCCCATATATTGAAGCGATATTATACAACTGATGTCAGTAAATGATGTTTACTAAAATAAAATATTTTGTTGTTCTCGTTTATATATTTCAGCTTATCAAATTCACCAGAGAAGACAGACTGAATATTTTGCGAAAAATGGCTCTGACAAAATCAAGAGAAAACCCTGTCATCATGACTCTGGATACTCCTGAATTCAAATCTATTTTCAATGAGGAATTGCGATCTCTAGTATCACTTTTCAAAGAATATGGATATGAAATCAGAATTGCTGGAGGTGCAGTAAGGGATATCCTAATGGGAAAGCAGCCCAAAGACCTTGACTTTGCAACAACAGCTACTCCAACAGAAATGAAAGAAATGTTCACTACAGAAAATATTCGGCTGATAAACTTGAATGGTGAAAAACATGGTACAATTACTCCTAGGATTAATGACAAGGAGAATTTTGAAGTTACTACTCTTCGAATTGATGTAGTTACTGATGGAAGACATGCTGAAGTTCAATTCACAACAGATTGGATGCTAGATGCTCTCAGGAGAGATCTTACCATTAATTCAATGTTTCTAGGATTGGATGGATGTGTTTATGATTATTTTTTTGGCTATGATGATCTCAAAAAACATAGAGTTGCCTTTGTTGGGAATGCTGTCACTAGAATTCAGGAGGATTATTTGAGAATACTCAGATACTTCAGGTACCTAGTAGGTATATTTACACCTAAATGATCAAATTTATTTTCCAACATTCCTTAATAAATCTCACCAATCAGCAGAAAGTTTCTTAACTTGCTAATAAATCACTGTAAACTTGAGTATGGATAGTTGAACTGAAATAATCTCTCATTTATATATATAGGTAATTCTAGATTTGAATCTTCTAATGATAAAAATATTTAGGTTTTATGGAAGAATAGCTTTGGAGCCAAATAAACATGAAGAAGGTACATTGAAAGCAATTTGTGATAATGGAGCAGGTCTCTCCAATATTTCAGGAGAAAGAATTTGGATGGAACTGAAAAAAATACTGGAAGGGAATTTTGCTGGTGACTTGATGGTTACTATTGTAGAGAATGACTTAGCTCAATATATAGGTAGGTAATACAACAATAGAACAATATGTTCATACAAGCTATGACAATGTTATTTTCAGGTTTGCCAAATAATCCTAATAAGGCTGAACTCAAAAAAGTTTGGACTCAAAGTGGACATTTGAACCTGAATGCAATAACCTTGCTTTCTTCTCTACTCAACAATACAGATGATGCTATTACTCTAAATGCAAGACTAAAACTATCAGCTTTTGATAGAGATTTAGCCCTGTTCATAGTGAATCATAGGGAACCAAAATTGCATTCTAAACCTTTAATGCCATATCAACAATTGATTTTGAAGTCCAAGTCAAAACCCTCTGATACTAAAAACATGTGCATTGAAGTGTTGAAATACATCAATTCCCCTTATTGGGAAGATCTGGTGAAATGGGAAATTCCCAAATTCCCTGTCAGTGGAAATGTGCTGAAGGAAAATGGAGTGGAAAGTGGGAGGTTTATGGGAGTGGTTATGAATGAACTGAAAATATTTTGGGCAAATAATGATTTTAATTTGAGTGTGGAAGAATTGGTTAAAGAAATTCCACGTATTTCAAATGAACTTGCAGAAAAAAAGAAAAAGAAATAAACATTTTGAAATCAGTTTCTCAATTATTTAACAGGACTTTCAATTACTAAATTTCAGTAGGTCAGGTTGGGTTAGATTATAAGAATACTGAACAAAAATTAAGCACTTTTATGATGATTCATATATTAACAATAATAAGTACAATAGTAATTTTATAAGAAATATAGTATATACACACTATTAAATTTTTTACAGTGTTAAAAAACACCACCTAACAAGATAAGAAAATATTTAATTTTAAAATCATAGATAAAGATAAGTGACTTGTATTTCAAAAATAAATCAGTTTTATTTTGGGAAATTAATTTGACTATGGGAGTTCAAAATTGAGGAAATCTCTCATATACAGGGTGTCCCGTGACGATGCCCATAGCTTAAGGGCACATTCCTAGAACACTCAAGTTGAACATGCCTTATACACTTTTACCCAAAACTCTATAGTGGAGGAGCATTGAGCAATATCAAATTTAACAGAGTATGTAGAATAAAGTAATGCAATAGTTTATCAATCAAGAATAGTTTCATTACATAGATTTATTTATTTTTTCTCAAAATGTTGAGCAATATTAAATTTAACAGAGTATGTAGAATGAAGCATAATCTATGAATGAAGTAATGCAATAGTTTATCAATCGAGAATAGTTTCAGTACATAAATTCAATTATTTTTTTTTCAAAATGTCTTGCTCTTCTAATGATTGAAGATGTTGCTCTCTGAAGGATATCTGTGTCGTCTCATATGAATGCAGTTGGAGTCATTATATTTGGTTTGTTTTTTATTTGAATACACTAGACTTTTTATGTGTCCTCAAAGATAATACTTTAGAGGCGTTAGGAGCGGCAACCTGGGTGGCTAAAAAAATGAACCTCTTCTTCCAATCCACCGGTGAGCAAAGTTGATATTTAATTGCTCATAACTCCTTAACTATTGAGGTTTAGACACACAATATTTAAAGGCACTTTTGACTCGAAATTGTTCAAGAAATATGCCTTCAAGCTATAGGCATCTAGTCACGGGACACCCTGTATACAGGTGGTCATTTAAGTGTGCAACATATGGGAATCTTTTCAATGAATTGCACAACCTAAATTCAGATAGTGCCGAAAGTTGGTGCATGTTCGGTAACCATTTTAGGTGCACTTAGAATGGTTGCAAGTCAAACAGCATACAGGGTAGATCAAAAAATATATAAATTGCTCAAGAGTGAAAAGTACCCTCATTTCAGAAAATTCAGCCAAATTTTATTGAGAAAAGTTCTTTACAATTGAAAACATGGCCACCTAAGACATTTTTTGGTTTTTCAATTATAATCGTTAATAATTTCCCAATTTGTAATATTTTAAATACAAAATGTTCACATTAAATGGAAGTTTTTGAATATGCATATTATCATTAATGATGTTTTACCTTGTTGAAAACATGGTTTGCGAAATTTTAAAGTTAAACTGAATATCCTTGCAACAAACATAAAGTTTGTGATTCCCTAAAAAAATTAAAATCGGAGTTAATTGCACAAATCAGCTTGAATTTGAACAAAAGTATGCTCAACTGATTTTCTTATGATTAACTTATGAAAGTATTTAGGGAGAATATTAAAAAAATTGCAAATTGGGAAATTATTCAGGAACAAAATTGAAAAACTAAAAAATGTCTTAGGAGGCCATGTTTTGGTATTTAGGCATAACTTTCAGTTGTAAACAACTTTTCTCAATAACATTTTGCTGAATTTTCTGAAATAAGGGTACTTTACTCTTGAGCAATTTTTATATTTCTGACCTACCCTGTATGCTGTGTGACCTGCAACCATTCTGAGTGCACCTAAAATGGTTACCGAACATGCACCAACTTTCGGCCTTATCTGTATTTTGGTTGTGTAATTCATTAAAAAGATTCTCATATGTTGCACACTTAATGACCACACTGTATATGATTGACTCATAAGTCATATAGCATTGTTATAAAATATTTTTTATACAAACGTCAAAAAATGACAAGGTTCGCGCATTGATAACAAATTGCGAAGTGACACTTTTTTTCAGTTTCCTACGTTACCATGATACCTTGCACAAAACAATGCGCGAAGTAAAACAGTGCGCGAAGTACCTACTTCGCGCATTGTTATGTAAAATATATGAGATATTTATATTTCTACTTCATGGTCATCAATCGAGCAAACATCCACGAAATCATTTATTTCTGAATGTTCAACTATAACTTTGTTTTATCTCTTGGAGCGCTCGAAAGGAAATTCCTATTATGTTCGTGGAACATCGTGTGTACCTATAGGGAGGATAAGAGGAGGCTGTTTATGCCAGTTCAACACTATTTTTTATATCAAGCTGAGCATATTTTTACTTTAGAACTATATTTTTTGATGTTTGTAGAAAAAGTGTTGTTTGCAACTCGAGCGCGAAATACTTTGGTCATCTCGACTATTTTTTTAACTCGGCTACGCCTCGTTAAAAAACTCAGATCTCGATCACCAAAGTAGCATTTCGCGCTCTAGATACAAAAATAACTATTCTGAACCACTATTATGATTTTTTTTTGTTTTTCAAATGTAATTTTATCCAAAATGACCATGTAATAGAACTTAGAAACACACTTCACCAATACCTTTGGCTTTGTCTCAGACATTTTTTTTTTTATTCTCTGTATTATTCATTCCTAAAAAAATATTTTTTGGGGTGATGAACATTATTATTTTGTTTCAAAACTTTCATATTGGACTAATAAGGATCCTTATTCTTAATGAAACTTCAAAGTACTACATAAGAGTTAAGCCACGTTAAGCTTGGTCAAACATTATTGACAACACTTCAAAAACCCACTAGTATTCACCTATCAAGATTTCTAAGCAGCTTTCAACGTGCCAGTTGGATGATAAGAGCTGCACACATTTCAAAAAACTCCATGGTGTGATGACCTGTCAGTTTTGAATTTGTTGATCCACTATGCTGGATTGGCGTCGGTATAGCATCAATGAGAATATGACCAATATTTGACTCATTGTCTTCATTGCTCAGACTCTTGAAGTCCAAGAGGTAACTCTTATAATCCACCTAGAAGAATTGACCATGTCCATACAAATGCCCGGAGCAGAACATACAGGTTAAACCAATATATTTTTTATAACTACACTCAGTTCCAAAAAAAGTGACGCACTTGATATTTGACCTATCTTCTTAAAAAAAAAAAAAAAAGAAAGAGGCTTCTTTTGTGAGCATTTTGTTTTTTTATTCATTGATTTACCTCTAAAATTTTCCGAATTACAGCTTTTTTTGCTGAATCCTTGCAGATTACCAACTTTGCTCCCTGTTTGTTTGTACTTGCGGATTGCTCTACGAGCAGTTGCTTCATGAACTCCCACTGCACGAGCGGCATAACGTTTACTACGCCCATCGTTTACTAACGCAACTAATCTTGCTACTTGTTCAGGATTTTTTGAGGCATTTTATGTAATTTTAGTCAATAAAACAAGACACTTAATTAATAACACAACAACAAATGGTCAAATATGGAGGCATGCAACAAATTAGTTGCTATGGCAACGGCATTTGTTTTTTTAAAGACATGATCCTACCAGAGTACAACCCAATCAATTTTGAGTACTCTGATCCTTCAATAAATTTAATTTGTGGGATAAGCATAAGGTATCAGCAAAAAAGCTGTAATTCGGAAAATTTTAGAAATAAATCAATGAAACAAAAACAAAATGCTGCAAAAGAAGCCTCTTTCATATAGGGTGTAAGCACTTCATATACCATTACTCAATTAACACACAGAGTGAGTCAAAAATTAAGAATAAATCATGGTTCTAGTTATCCTCCACCATCAAGGAGACTTTGAAGAAATGTTCACCTCTTTATTTTTTTTTTGAAGATAAATGCATTACCTACCAACAAATAAAATAAAAATAAAAATCGGCCTACCATTTTTTTTTTTTTTTTCAAGAAGATAGGTCAAATATCAAGTGCATCACTTTTTTTGGAACTGAGTGTATAAATTTTCAAAATACTCACTTGATACAATTGAAGTGACATCATAATATATCGTTCATGCATTTCATTTCTGTGTCTGACCCTCACATGGTAAGGATTGATAACCTTCCATTCATAGTCCAAAGCTTTCATTGCACGGTATACCTCCATCATGATGTCATTGGGTTTACTCTGTGAACGTATACCTAAGTGCCACTTTGCTCTCTTGACTACAAAAGTAGGGGTAACAAAACTGAGTGAGATGATCAACATCACTTTGATAGATTCATAGATTGCCAATCATTGTTACAAGCAATTCTACTTTGCAAATATCAATAATCATCACAAAACTAGTTATTGAATCAATTTTTTTATAACTTTATTTTACAATCAACCTTTTTATTATTCATTATCTTAGAGGCAAAAACAATGATTTTCAAGAAATACCCATATGATTTTGATTTGTTTATTACCTCTTCCTTTTTCACCCATAGCTGCAGTAGTAGTAGGAGGCCAAGGCCTTTGAGGCACAATTCTCTCAGGATGAGGCTTCAAAGGACTGTTGGTAAATTCACTAGGAGGTGGCATCATGCTGACTGGTGGAGGGCTGCTAGCTACATAGAAATCTTTGAGTTCTGCTTTTGCTGCTTCATCAGCAATTCTTTTGTTATCAATTATCAAATGGTAAGCTATGGCTAGTTGATCATGGGGGTCACCACTCAAAAGAGCACTATGGACTTCAGATTCTTGAACTCCAAATTTGTCACAAACCTATGAGACTAAATATATAATATTCTATTTTATATTTTTCATGTTGCTCACTTCTTTTACAGCATCAGTGTCTATAACTGAAGAATCTTGATCCACAGGAGAAGGAAATAGATATGCAGGACAATCTTTGATGAACCACTCATGTTTTTTTATATCCTCAATGCTAGCTCTCTTCATAGGGTCAATTTGTAACATTTGGCACAATAAGCTAATCACAGGCTTTTTCAGGTAATCAGGGATAGGGAATATTCCAGATTTTATTTTGCGGAACAGAGTGGGTACATGTTCATCATCAAAAGGCAGAGTACCACAAAGAAGTGCATAAAGTATGACTCCACAAGACCAGATATCAACTTCAGGACCTGCATAAAGTTTTCCAGATATAACCTTAAAATCAATAATATAATTTTTCATATTTGAAAAGTATCATTCTACCTCTGGTGCAGCATAATTTGGGGATCCACAACTAGTTCTCAGGAATTCACCATCCATCATCATGTTTGATAAACCAAAGTCAGCTATTTTGACATGCATATTATGGTCAAGCAACAGATTCTCAGGTTTCAAATCCCTATGTACAATCATGTGTCTATGGCAATAGTCTACACCTGATATGATCTGTTGAAAAAATCTTCTTGCATCATGTTCTTCTAGTTTTCCATGTTTTACTATGTAGTCAAAAAGTTCCCCTCCAGACACATATTCCATAATCATGAAAATATCAGTTGGAGTACTTATGACTTGGTACAGCTTGATTATGTGAGGGTGTCTGAATAATTTTAGATTTTGAATTTCCCTCCTGATCTTTCCAACAACATCTAAGCTTTTGATTTTTTGCCTGTTGAGGATTTTTACAGCCACCTTGTGCTTAGTCAGCTGATGTTCACCAACTTTTACCTTTCCAAAAGTTCCAACACCCAAAGTTGCCCCCAAAATGTAATGGCCAATTTTAACCAGGGGTTGGGCCCCTGGTTTGTTTACTTCAGCCATTCTTCTGACTTCTAAAAGTCCTCTTGGTATAAATCAACTACACTCAATAATTTTGATCAATATTTTGATTATCTTTCAACTTTCACCTCCACTTCACCTATCCATGGTGCACTTTAATAGTGGTGGAAAACTATCGATAGCACTATCGATAGTTTCGCACTATCAAAACACTCGATAGTTATTGAATACTCTTGGAAATATTAGTGGGATGCAGTCTGGACCAATGGATTAATTAAATTTCTTCGTTATTTGTCGAGCTTTCGAAAATTTTTATTTTCTTTATCAAGACTAACTGAAAACATCGAATGGAACAATATATAAATGTACATCAATTGAAATTGGTATACTTACAAACATGAAATTCTATATAAAATTAGCACAAAAAGGAAACATTTATATATTGTTCCATTCGATGTTTTCAGTTAGTCTTGATAAAGAAAATAAAAATTTTCGAAAGCTCGACAAATAACGAAGAAATTTAATTAATCCATTGGTCCAGACTGCATCCCACTAATATTTCCAAGAATATTATTATAGAACAGTCACGAAAGCTTCCCCTTGTTATTGAATACTATCGATAAACCATCGGTCCAAAAATGTGTACAGAAATCAAGTCATTTTGACCCCCACAGTTCGACGGCCACCGTCATCGAATAACAGTAAGTATAAAATCGCGTTTAAATATTGATACTTAATGCCTGCGACTTATTCAACTTCTAGGGGTGAACTAGAAAAAACAATTTCAACAGTGATTTCAACAGGAATAGATTCAAATGAAAATTGTATTTCAGCGCCTCGTCCTCGAGATCACCTTGATTACACTTATAGTACCCTTATTCTGAGCTTGAGGACTTTAACGTTTAACGGCTTCAGCGGAGTTCACAACCAAACTTTTTACGTTTTGCTTTTTACGTTTCACATTCTGATTGGTGAAGCAGAATCCGGAATTGGCAAGACGCGAAAAGATAAAAATTTTCAGCTTTTTGTGTTACAAGATGCCACTATGTGTGAAAATGGCACCGCATGTTGGAAAATGGTAAAAATAGACAAATACTAAATACTTAACCTATTCTCACACCACACCTCATTTTAGGATTGATTTTTACGCCTCCGCCAGTAATCATGAAAATTATTCGTTATTTAATCAATATTATTGTTGTGATTATTTAACTTCATATCAGGATAAAGCACAAGTGACAGAACCAAGGCTACTGAGAAAATCCGTTTCACCAATCAGAATACGAAACGTGAAAAGCAAAAGTAAAAAGTTTGGTTGAGAACCCCGTCTCAAAAAATAAAAAACTTCCCATCTCACATTCTCGATGACTTCCCCTCTCTAATAGTGTTGTGTGTGTAGCTGTCAATGTCAAAAACATGTCAAATTAGTATAATGTCAACTTCAAAACTATTATAATTAAAAAAAAATAATAAAATTGTAAAATTGTAAACAATACAATTTGTATTCGATATTGGTTCTTTGTCTTTCCAGAAAGATCATAATTCACAATGTTGTGTTTATTTTTCTTTTGATTACTTCTACATCTCATCGAAGTCAATTCGTTCCTCATGTATTCTTTTCTTTTTTATGTTATTTACTGAGAAGACATCAGCTTGCTCTTATCCCGAGTTTTATCCCTTTGATTTTCTAAATACTAGTTTTAAAAAAATATGTCGAGTCCTGAGCAAGAAAACATTATGAACAACAGCCATACACAAAATCAAACCATACAATCGCCTCTTGATGTTTGTAAGTAGATACCAACAAATAATGTAAACATCTAAATTATTGTATATCAGTATTTCATTGTTCTGATTTGTTTGCTCTTTTGAAACTGATTTGTACAACTATCAAGATTTTGAATTCTGATTAGCAATGCAGTGCTATGGTATACTTTATATTCTGTTGAATTTTCAGCCCATTCCTATAGTGTTAACACAATTTCATCACTTCGAGATTACATTATTTCAGAGGACCTGCTGGCTGGGCAGAGGTTAGAAGGCAGGATGTCAAGTGTTAGAAGGTTTTTTTGTTTATTTGTTACCTTTGACTTTCTGTTCACATGTTTGATGTGGATAATATGTGTTATGGTAAAGAATTAGAAATGTTTATTTTACCTAGGGGTTGATTGAGGTGTTTCATTTCCAGCTGAATGGAGAATACATTATAACAGCTTTACAAGAACAAGTGGTTCACTATAATATTCATACATCACTATTTGACATAGTGCTGATAGCTTCTTGTAGATTCATCATGTTGATATTTTTCTATGCTTTGCTTTACATGAATCACTGGTTTATAATATCAGTAAGTCCTGTAAAACAGGTTTTTATGTTTCTTTACATTGGTTATTTTTCAGCTGTCTACAGCTTCTACCTGTGGGTTCCTCATCACCAAAGTGTTCTTTTATGATGTAAGTAGGTATTTATCATGTATTTATCCAAAGAAATGATTATCAACAACTAAAAAACATGGGTCTGCATAACTGCAAAAATATACCTTATGGAATATGGTTTACTATTATTTTTAGTGGCCCCACTCATCACAACCAGTTTTTGAGGTACTGTTAGTTCTGGCCTCATTTATTTTAGCCTGGGGGGAAGCATGGTTCCTTGATTTTAAAGTTATACCACAAGAAACACATGCCAACAGATATTTGATCAGTGAGTATTATTTGTGTTTCAAGTGCTTATGGGCAATTTTGAGTGAAATTAGCAAGATAGTGGTATATCTGGGAATATTTTTGGTTATTGATTTAATTAATAATAAATAAAAACTAGAACTAAATTAGTGGATATCTATCTATCTAAGTACTTTATATAACTTTCCTACAAGCTTAATGCAAATAAACAAGAAAAGACCCATAGAAACTCAAGGATGTGCTTGGGTATTTTTAGTTTCTACAAGTGTAGTTAAGGGTAGTGTGTGTTGTATATGTGTGCTTATATAATGTAGTATATAATAATAATAATATGATTAACAATAAGAAAAAATTACAATACTTATATATCATTTGAGTAATAAAGATGAGTGATAGTGTCTAACATTATATTCTTAACTGCAACTGTAACTGAAATAGAATAATGAAATACTGAAAGAATTCTATAATTGCTAAGGAGTTTATAGTGATTATTTCTTCTTTCAAAACTGTTGGTATGAAATTGAATACTTTCTTACTGAAAAACATATGATTCCTTTTCCCAACATTTTGTTTCCTAATTGATGTCTGGATATGTAGAGTCCATTTTTGTCTACTTTGATATATATATGATCAATATGTTGTAGACATAGAGTATTTCTATTTTTGAAGGTGTATATCATGATGTGGTAGCAGTAAAGTTGTCAAAGGTCTAATATATTTTTGTTCCATTGAATAACTCTTCAGATGGGTTAATGGGTTGATGATATAGATATAATACTACTACTATGTAGACTACTTTAGACCATAAACTCCTATAATTCTACTGTTAACTTTGATAATGCCTATTAAAGGAATTATTATGTAATTGAATGTTTATTGTTTATTAATATTTTAATAAACAAAACAATATTAATAAACTTATGTTTCCATCACCATCAAGTTATTCTAAAAAGATATGAGTTATTCACTGGAATAAATTTTATGTGTTACCATGTTTTCATCAAATATCTTGAAATGTTGAGTAAGCTCTCTTGTTTACCTAGGTATTCATAACCATATGGTCAGTGACTTTGAGGTTCAAGTTTCAACAGAGTCTGGTAACATTTTTATTTTTTCTGTTTTTGCCTTTCTAGCAGATACTGAGAGAACCCCTCTGATAAGGAGTTATGTTCAGGGGCTCCCTTCTATGTATACAGAGAGTATTGGGAATTTTTATTCTCCTCAAGGATCACCAGAAGGTTCAATGTTTAGGTTTGACCAATCAGCCAATGTTAGTACTTATTTACCTGTGAAATTTACTAAAGAACAGGTAAACCACAAAAAAACTATTGTTGATTCTTAATTCTTGATTTTCACATTTATTTTCTAGTTTATTTGCCTCAAATAATATTCGAATTAATTAAGGGTTCTCTTTTTGGTATTCATTCATGTGGTTTTGTTATTATTCATTTATGTAGACTTCAAATTTGAATATTTGGGATAAGTCTAGTTTTACATAATAAGAAATTCTAATTATATGATCTATTTGAATTTAAAATTTTCTGGATTCTTTAAAAGTGCCATTAAATCTCTTCTCTCAAGTTGTTTCTACCCATTTGAGTTCTTGATTTTATTGGATATGGAGGTATTTGGGTATATTTCTATTCTGATATAGATATGTGCTTGTTTTTATTTCAGGAAGATAATTATAAGAGAACAGCTTCAAAAGTGTTTCATGAAGCATGGGACCTATTCAAAAGTAAAGATTGGAAACTTCAAAAACAAAATGAGAATGATAGTTTTTTCTCAAGATCAGAATCAAAGGGAAAAAAAATCTTCAAAGTCCAGGTATGTTTTATCTAGTATTTCATATCCTATGGTCACTTAATTTATATCTATGTATCTATAATATTTTTCTGCATAATGTAAATAAATTGGTTTGATGCACATATGAAATGAAAAAAGTGATTTTCTATTATATTTCAGGCTGAAATCAGTGTGTCCCCTAGATATCTTCTTGAAGAACTTTTCTATCAAGTCCATGAGCTTCCAAAATGGAATCCTGCTATCAAAGAATCACAAAGAATTCAGTCATTGAATGAACACACAGACATAACTTACCAAGTCTCAAAAGAAGCTGCAAAAGGTTTAGTTTCCAGTAGAGATTTTGTGAATTTGAGGCATTGGGCGGAAATTGAGAATGGTTACATGATTTCTGTCAGCAAAACTGACCATCCTTCTATACCAGTAAATAAAAAAATTGTTCGGTAAGCATTGGGAGAGATTTCTTGTGCCATTTTTTCTTTGATATGTCTATTTGCTTATTTTCTTCACACAATTGTTCTAGTGTCAATTATTATGTATTTTCATATTGTAACTTTCTGATTTCCCATTAGTTTAATTGAATTCACAAATTCATAACTGAATTTCGCCAGATGGCACAATTGAGGAAATTGTAAAAGTATAGAATGTTTTAAAACACCAAAGGTTCTTGAAAGATTTCAATATCAAATTATATATTTTTGGAATTCTTCTTGAATTCACCATTCAATTGATGAGAACAGTTTTTTTGTTATGTCTTAGGGGAGAAAATGGAGTAGGTTGTTTTGTAATTGAAGAAACCAATCAGACAGACATAAGTATGTTTCACTGGATAATGAATACCAACTTGAAAATATGGATTCCAAGTACAATTCTAGAAAAGGAAGTAGCACATATGATGTTCACTTATATCAAAGACTTACGTAACCATCTATATTCAAAAAGGAGTAAGTAGATTGTATGAAATAACTGATTCATGTTTTTATTTCCCTTGTATTAAATCTTTCAGGTTAGTGAATGTCAAAATATTGATTCTCTTATGTCCATTGAGATTGTTTCTAACTTAAAATAATATTTTATGGTGTGATAATATTCTGTAATATGTATGTGAAAGGATCTAGTTCTCTAATGTTTGCAACTTTTTTTTGTTCTTTTGTATATTGGTTCAGGAAACATGAATTTGATATGGAAAAATAAACAAACTACTATTAATCAAGAGAGAAGTTCAAAAAATTTCATCTCATCCATATTTTCCCATCCTTTGAAGAATCATGAATTTTTAAGCTAATTTCAAGGAAGAAATATGATCGATATTTTTTAAAGAAGAGCCGATACCTAACCAAACCTGATGGATCCATCAAGTTCATAAGTCATCAAAGAACAAGCAAGGATGAAGATATAGTTCCTCTACTTTATTTTAATAACCAAAACAATTGAAAAAAAGAGTTGAAATTGAATGACTATCTTGATAAATAGTTTTCAGATCCTCAATGTGAATTTCATATTTCTTGGACCAAAATAAAATGAAAAAAAGTTACACTAATTATCTTCTGGTCAATCCAATCTGTGATGAGTTTTCACCACTGATTGCCAAATATTAGCTGGCTGAGTTGTATTTGGCAGTCAGCTTGTAATATCAGTTAGACAAAACAACCATGGTAATATTCCCAACCATTGAAGATAATATTAGATGGCAAATCTTTCACGATTATTATCTAAGTTCTGAGAACTTTGTTTATTTATATTTTGCATATATTTTTTATACCCTCATGCATCTCGGAAAAAGACTGTGAAATAATCACGATTACACAAATTGAATATCCACCCATATTATTTGATCCATTTCAGATACAACATTATGAAAATATTCAATTGTAATTAATAATGGTGTGAGTCCATCTCTATATAAAAAAATTATTTCAACATGACTATGAAACTAAATGCTAGAGCAGTATCAGCATAATTAACAAATAATTATTGAATGATGGATAATATTTTAGATTTCTAGGACAAACTTTTGCAGGTGATAGCTGGGTTATATATTTTTTCCTGAAGAACATGGGTCTGATTTATATCAAGGGTTTTCAAGAAATCCTTGAAGTGGTAAAAATAAATTGGTAAAATAATATGAACCAAATTGCATGGTTGAAAAGAAAATAGATTTTTCAGTTTTCATGTTTTCCAAATGCTTGTGATTTGAACAATATGGAATCTGGCCCATGTAGTTTAATCATCTGTCAGAAGATTGTCATAGACCTTGTAAAACACCCTGTGTTGCCTCAATTTAAGCAATTATAAATGGAAAAAATTTGCTAGTTGTATAGCAGATGAATATTATATAAATTTCTCATTTCTTTTATTGAATTTATTACTAAATCGCATTATTTGATTGATATTTGAAACCATGAAACTCTGTGGATATGCATTTAATTACTGATACTTTATCATAAGGAACATTGAAGAAAGACTGTGATTCTCAAAATAAATATAAGCATAATGTTATTTTTAAATGTTTTTATTTAGTAATAAACAACAATAATTTACTTGAAACTGCTTTATATTCTACATATTACAAAATTGAGTATGTACGGGAACCAGATCAATTCATATTATATGGTTATGGTGATCCTATATTTATTTTTCTTGTGCTGGAAACCAGGTTTGACATGCCTCACTTGCTATTTCACACATTGCGGTAAGTGCCTTTCCAGCGTTATCAAATTCTGAAATATAGAAAAAAAAATTATTTCCGAAATATGAAATTTGGTGCAGATGTGGCTAATGTGTTTTTTCACGGTGTTGAGCACAAAGAATGAACAAGCTTGGAAAAAAGTATCATTGACCAATAATAATAATAATAATAAGATTTATTGATCCCAAGAAACAGACATATATTTATGGAGGGACACAAGAAAAATCGATAGGTAAATAAACAAATCGAATAATACTATCAGATTTTATTCAGTATGGTAGACTGTTATATTGAAAGTAAGATGCCAATGCTTTTTCTTATTTTTAGTGAAATATCTAGCAGATCACTTGGTTTGTAAGATGTGGATTCCGAAAAAGGTAGTTCATTAATACATTTTGTGGAATTATCTAAAGAGATAAAGTTTCAAAGCAGATGGATAAGAAGTGTCTCCGCTTTAGGCAACGCCACGGCGGCAGAAAAAAATGTGACGTCATTTATGTGGCAAGGAAAGAAAGTGGAAGTGCTATCCGAGTTCATGTTTTCACCGATAAAACATGACTCAAAAATGAGTTAGTAAGTAAGTAAGTTATACATCTCACCAGCGGTAGTACCAGTTCTTTTTCCAAAAATAGAACCATTGAATGGTGGTCTTCTGTATGCGGCATCTGAGGTGGAAATGACTACACTGAATACAATGAATGCCAAGCAAAGGAATGCCAAGATTTTTCCAACATTGTTAGTCATTATGATCCTAGTAGAAACAAAAAGAGAAAATGGCGATAATCATTAAAGTACAGTGTGTCCAGTTTTCGATGCTTCTGCATGATATCTCAGTTATCTTTGGTGATAGAAACTTGCGGTTTTCGCAGTCTTGTTCCTCTTTTTTGTGAAACTCAAGATGGTCTAACCAGCTTTTGCATAATTGTTTCCGTTTTTTTGAAATACAGGGCGATTTTGAAAATGTTTACTGTCTAGACCCCCTCTATATCTAAGAAGTTTCTCAGCGAATATGTCAAATTAAAATCTTAACCCATAGAGAATTTTACGCAGAGTCCAGTGGCGCACTCAATTTTTTTTTTCAGAGTATGGTTTTTTTTTTTTTTTTTTTTATCGATTGGAGCGCACGAAAGGGAATCCCTATAATGTTCAAAGATAAGACTCAAACTTATGATTTTTTAAATGGAACACCCTGTATTTCATCAGCTCATTGAATTCCTTATTTTTTCCTTTTAAAATGATATATAATGTATGAATATAACAATTTAAAAAATGATCCCAAATCACTAAAACATTGAATTTTGAACGGATTGGATGAATTTTTCATATAGTAAAAGTATATATTTCCTTTTATTTTTCCATGAAGAGGACAACAACAATACCAACACCAATTTACTAACAAAAATCAAAACAAAACTTAATTACCTGATAGCAACAAATAAATATTGACAAAAAGTTTATAATGTAGAATAAAGCACCTATAATTAAATATAATACTGAAACAATTGAATTTCGAAATTATTCAGTAACTTATTCATTGAATGGGGAAGACCACTAAGGAAAGAAATCCGTGCAAACCTCTTACAATCCACGAATCATGATTTACGTTTTATGTACAATCAATATTATGAGTTGAAGTTGAAGGAAATCGAATCTATATCGTTTTGAAATCAGCATATTTCATTCGATATTTCAAAAAACCAAATATAATGGTGGAGCCGTGACGTATTAGTCCCGAACTGTAGCTATCTCTCTCTGATACCTCGTCATTCTGCAGTGTTGCAGTGTGATTGGTTAGTTCAAGGACAATAGGCGTGTTGGGACTAAGACGTCGCACCAGTCACACCAATGAATTGACAAAATTCCAAATGGCGTAGGAATTGTGTGTTTTCAAATGGACATATTCTTATTTATTTGTTTCATCGTCTTAGCGTTAATCAAAAAATTCAAAATGAATTCACTGGTAGTTTCACAGTATAGAGTTCATGATAATGTCGATTCAAAAAATCAGTGGTCTCCCCCATTGTTCAAATTGATGTCGCGGTCGCTTTTCAAGTAGGCCCCAGTGAGCCTTTTTGCCGACCCCACGAGAAAAAAATTTCCACTAAAATACATACGATTGCTATGGCAATTTGTCATAAAAACCCAATTTAACTGTATGATAATCACTGGTGTGGAATTTTCCCAAAACATATATGTCGATAGAAAATGCCCTTTTGTCAACATCTACTTGTGATGTTTTACTCAAAAAATGAGAGGAACAATGAAAGGAATAATTTGAAAAATATGGTAGGTTCCCTATTAGGTAAAAATACTATTTTTATTAGGCAGTTAGAAATGAGAAGGAGTTTTCCTGTAATTTTCACTATACCGCGAATACCAAATTGGGACCGGTATGAATAGCCATCAATATGATCAGTTGTTCAGAGCCGAACATTGTGTTGAACAGTGCAAAGATGAAATATTACCTGATTTTTTTGTTTGTTTTTGGGAAGTTGATTGCACTCTTCGAACTTCTTCAGGCACGTTCTTCAGGACTCTGACTTCAGCAGGGATTCTGTCGGCATTTTTATACCGCGTATCGACGGAGATTTTGCAGTTATTGAATTGTGAAAACTGAACCAATCTTACTTCAATTCACTATACCTACTTATTTCGAGGATAATTTGGTGAATCCGTGAATTTCCCTTGTGCACGATGTTTCATCCCGCTAATTAATTTGATTAGTTTTCTTGTCGCCACTAGCTACTACCTATCTAAATTGTGTCTAAATTGCATTACTAAACCAATAAGTACCTATAATGGATTTGTTTCCTATTCAATTTACTCAGTTTATTGAAAACAAGAGCAGGTTATGTTTAATGAATGTATTTTTATCTATAATATTACAGTATATACATACATATACAGTGAAGTATATACGAGGTGTTTTTGAAATGAGTACATATATTGAGCTATCGAATATTCCCATGATATCTGTTTTTATATAATTCTTTTTTTTATCGCTTGGAGCGCACGAAAGGGAATCCCTATAATGTTCGAAGAACATCGCGCGTTCCTAGGGAGGATAGGGATAGGAGGTAGGTATTGGAATTTTTTTTGAACTTCTGGAGATTATATGTTGTTGGAAATATTTCCACAGGCAATGAATTCCAGAGCCTAGCCGTTCTATGGATGAAGGAGTTTTGATAAAGTGCTGTTCGACATCTTTCGAGGTTGACAACGAAAGGATGTGCTGACTGGGCTTATCTAGTTCGTCTGACTGGTATTGCTAGTGAAGGGATGATAGCAGAGATTTCCGAAGCACATTTCCCGTGGAAGTATCGATAGAAAAGTGAAAGGTCGAGAAAAAAATCAAGTTCGCCACTTTGAAACAATTTAAATGATTGAACTCCCTGTGATTGTGCCGTCCGCACGGAAATTTTAACATAGGAGACGTCAGAATTGCTACAATGTAGAACTTTAGGTGGAAAAAGGGGTCTAACCCCAAATTTTATTTTGCTCCCGATATTTTTTTTATTGGTGCCATTCCATAGTATATGTCGAGCTTTCTCAAGGTTTGAAATATTTGCACTTGTTTCAATGCCACCCTGTCAGTGGCGTAGCTACCCATGGGCTAGGCGGGGCAGTGCCCCGGGGCCCTCAAGCTCAGGGGGCCCTCCAATCCCTACCAGAAATCTAGATCTCGACCCCACTTTAATCATAACAACTCAGATGAGAGAAATCCAAAAGGTATGCCTAAGGAAATTCCCTTAAATTATTTCTGTAGGTTGGCAGTATTGTCAATTTGACGGATAGTGATATGTGCATTTTATTATTCATTAATGTGCGTTTTATTGTGAATTCGAGTTAAGATTTTTTTCGAGAACGGTTAAAAAATTAATGCTGTATCAGGGGTAAATAAGCTAATGTCAATATACTTTTTTGTACGGGCAATATAGTGGTTCAATTTTATCTGATTTTGCCACTCATATCATATTGATGTCCGTTGAGTCAATAAATCGTGTCAAATGTATAGATTTCGGCTACAGCTCATTGTGTAACGCGAAATATCGTGAAAAAATACAAGTCACCTGCATTCAGAGTCCTAAAAAAGATGAATGTGGTGAAGCAGAGAGCATTAAAACAAAAATGCTAAATTTCGAGTTCGTGTTGCTTTGCGAATTCATGCACAGTGTATTGAACGACATCAATTATGCATCCAAAACTTTACAAAAATGCGACATCAATTTGGGCGAGGCGAGTAAAGTTTTAGCAGAGACCAAAGCAAAATTGCAAATTTATAGAAATTATTTCGAATTATTCAAGTGTAAAGCCAGTGAAACTGCATCAAAATATGGTATTGAAACCCATTTTCAAGAAAAAAGGCAAAGAAAAGTTAAAAAACATTTTGATGAATTAGCTGCTGATCACCGATTTCCAAACCGAGAAACAATATTTAAAATTGAGATTTTCAATAATGTACTAGACACAGTAATATCTCAATTAGATACACGTTTCATTGGTATGAGTGCAGTCTGTCATATATTCGATTTTCTAACATGAAGGAACTTTATTACAAAAGTGTGACGAATTCCAAAGAAAATATTCAGAAATAATAGGCCCTAGTTTTTCACTTCAATTTATTAATATTTACCACCTAGTTTTACCTCAACTAACACAATCATGGACTGTTCTCCAATTATGTAAGGAAATAATGAGCAAATATGGAGTGCTAGAATGCGACCTAACGGAAGTATTTACAGCAATGCTATTATTCTTTACAATTCCTGTCACTTCTGCAGCAGCTGAAAGGTCATTCAGCAAATTAAAAATAATAAAAAATTATTTGAGAAATAATATTGGCCAAACCCGACTCCGACATTTATCGTTAATAGCAATTGAAAACAACACCGCCTCAAGCCTGGATTTGAACGAAGTCATTGATAGTTTTGCGAAAACTAAATCTAGGAAAAAAATTTAATTGTTATTTAGTCAGTTGGTAGGCCCGACCTTTATATAATAAACCTTTGAATATTTCGTTGTATTATTAGCCAAACGTACACCAAGTATTAAGTGTAATTTATGTTGTTACTGTTTAATATTTTTATTACCTGCCCTGCAGTGCACAAAAAGGAGCATAAGTAGCTTAGCATTTTCAAAGTTTTTGTATATCTCATATTTTCATTTGATGAAACCTAATCAGTTTACATAGCAGTGGGCCCCATTTTTTAATCTGCCCCAGGACCCTTGGTCACCTAGCTACGCCACTGCACCCTGTATATTGTTTAACGATAGCACGCAACGATAGAACATATTATGTCATTGTGAAATTAGATATACGTAAATAAAATTGATGACATACAACAAAGCACCTCATTGATTTATGGATCAAAGTAAAACAAGAGTAATTTTGTGGTATAGCCGTAGAAAATAGTATATTATTGTTCAACGAGCACGGACAATGATATATATAGTTATTTCCCACGAGAATGAAGTTCGCAACATGAGCCGTAGGCGAATACTGCAAATCATACGAGCGGGAAATCAGCATTCCGTACGATTTATGCACTATACTTTTTCTACGGCCATAATACAGACAACGAAATAATTTTTTCTTCGACTTCTAGCCACATCTGATTTTCTCTTGATGCTCATCTATCATACAAAGCTGTCATTGCTTGAAATTTGACATTTCATGGGATATGAAATTTTTAAATTTGGAAATCACTTTTTGCTACGGCTATAACACAAAATTGCTCTTGTTTCACTGTGTTCGATAAATCAATGAAAGGTAGGTACTTTGTATTTCGTGACTCCATTGTGTTATTATTTCAAAAAAATCTCATCGAGTCATCGCTCATGGAATGTCAAATTTCAAGCAATGACTGCCCTGTTTAAAAGATGCGCATTATTACTTGACAGGAGATCAGATGGCTATAAGACAAAGAAATCAACAATGTTATCTGTTCTTCGTGTTTGTGGAAAGTATTATACAGGTGAAATGAAAAGACCTCTCTCAGTAAGGACTAAAGAACACATGTACAATATCAAGAAAAGACATATCGATAAATCGAAGCTAAGTGAACATATCCTTACTGAAGATGGACAACATATGGCAGAGTGGAACAATATCAAAATCATATTAAAGGAAGATAACAACCAAAAAAGAAGAATCAAGAAATCCGCTTGCATTCTTCTGAACGGAGACAATAGCATTGCTTCCTCTGTTCAGTTGATATATAGACACAACATGGTATTCACTACTGAAAACTGAACATGAAAATGGTAGTTTCAAGATCAATTAATGAAAACATCCTGTAACTCATTTGCAGACTAAGTCAAAGCCATTTTGACCAACAATGACTAGTTTCGACACACAAAAATCTTATTTGGAAAATATTTTGAACACCTATATCTCTGTAATTATCCCCGCAAGGCCCCGAGGGTGATACATTTATTAAATCAGCTCTTCAGGGAATATATAAGAATGCATGAATACCATTTGAAAAACCAAAGTTGCTGCCACTTTCTAGTAGTAGCGGCAACGCCGCATCGTGTAAAATATTTTAGACGTGTAGAACATGTCAATTCATAATAACCATCAAATTTTCAGATCATCTGTTGCTTGGTTTGCCAGAAACGTCTAATTAACGCTCATCATCGTGAAAAACCCTGTATTGTTCAACGAGCACGGAAATTAGTATTCCGTGCGAGTTACGTACTATAGTTTTTCTACGACTGTAACAGATGACAGTTGAATTTTTCATTTCTTTGGCAGCTCAACATCTGTCAGGCAGATTAATGGAATATGGACCCATACAACACATGGACATCCGATGGATGTCCATAGGATATCCATTCAGGATATTTTGGATATCCAATGGACATCCAAATAACGTCCAATGGATATCCCATGGACGTCCAATGGATGTCCTGAGGCCACCAACTTGTACGTCCATAGGATATCCTTCACGGACGTCCATAAAATATCCTTCAATGACGTCCATAGAACATCGTTCAAGAACTTTTGGGTAATCTCAAACAACGACAAAAATAATCAAATCAAGATATCATTGATATCAACATTCAGATAAAATATGAAAACAGTCTGATGCGTAATGCGTGCTGATGCTCTGATGCTGTTGACCTTTATTGTCACAGTCTCAGGACTCTCAGGTCACAGTCACAACTGTCACAAGTCACATTGGATAGAAAATGACAGTGGCACAGAAGTCAGAACTTATTTGAGTTCTGTAGTCTGCGTTCGCGTCATGGACCCACCATATATCTAATAACATCTATATGGGTGACAAGATCTCTGAATTGAAGCCAAAAAATTGATAACAAAAGACAGTCTACGGGCAAATTGATACTAAGGCGCATGAGCCGAACACAATAAACGACATCAGTTCTACTCTGTTCTATGCGCATCTGTTAGCTGGCGAGTGAACGTATGATTATTCATTGTCTCGCAGACTGTCATTTGTTTCTCAAAACTGGCTTCAATTTTGAACAAGGAAAGGATAGGACGTTACCCATATAGTTGTTATTAAATATATGGGACCCACATGGACATCCAAAATATGTTTGGTGAGTCCGACACTGCCGACTTTGTCGACATCTCTATGTTATTCTGGGCGTTATTGTTCAACGACGTGGTTCAATGCTCCAATACAGGATATCCCATGGATATCCAAGAAGACGTTGAAAAATTCCATATTCGATATATTATATATTTCCTAGTAATATAACTATGTACACACATAAATTTGAATTTTCATCAATTTAATTCATATTCACAATTTATTACATTGATTATATCCGCGCGGGTGAATTTTGGATATCCTATGGATATCCAAAAAGGTCCAAGGATATCCCGACATGAATTGGACATGATTTGGACGTCCATAGGATATCCCGTGTTGTATGGGGAGATGTCCATGATAAGTTTTCATGAACATTAAATTCAAATATTGATCGTATTTTTATTCTTTTTCGAACATTTCTTCATGAAAAACAATTATTTTCGATCATTCAATTAAACAGTCGAAAAATTAGTCGACAGTGTGAGTGTATATATGTAATCACGTCAGGTAACCTTACGAGGGGAGTGTATCAACTTTGGCGTTCGTGTTGCCTCTCTACAAAGGAGGGTGTCGCCTTTAAAAGTTAGGTATAAACAGAGTGGTGTTATACCAAATCTTTTCCAAATTATTTGTGCACTTTAGGAAAGCAACAGTTGTTATTTCAATGAAGCTGTGCTCAATGAAGTAGACCCACGTTTTCTTTGAAAAATGTTATTTATAATGAATAATATATATTGCACAATTAGAGAAGCATTATACTAATCTGAAGTGTTTTTCAGGATATTCCAGAAGAAGATGGCAGATATCCCAGCATTTCAGAACCAGTATTCACAAGCGAACTACATTTTCGCAAAATATGAAATTACCAACAAAATTCAACGTTCATACTCATGCGACAAAATTTGCAGGAGATGGGTTTTGTAGGTTATATATATAATATCTTTATTTCTGGTCCCACCATTTATAGAATAGTTCATCAAATTGAAGGCACGCTACACGAAAGTAATTGAAATATTCATTAGGGTCATTCAGTCGCATATGTATCGAACGAGGCTGTAATAATAATCTCCATAAGTTTTTCGGCATTTGAAAATGCTTCGAACACTACATCAGCCTTTTTTGCTTCTGGATTTTGATGTTATCAAAATAACAACACACTTTATATGCTTGGGATGCCGCCGTGATACCATAGAAATTGATGTATCATTATTATAATATTATTAGGAACCAAATGAACTCATACAACATTTTTATTCAACTACCATAGAAATTCATGTACCATAAAAACGCAATACAAATTTTATTCATGATGGATGAAAATAAAAGTACCATGGAAATTGAAGTATAATTTTTATATGCACCAAATAAATTCGTATACAAATTTCCATCAAATTTCATTCAACTTCCTTAGAAATTGATGTATCTTATTAATTCGTGTATCATAAAAATTTAATACAATTTTGTATTCAACATGAATGGAAATGAAACAAATAAATATCAACTGCAATGGAAATTGGGTATCATATTATATTAGGAACCAAATAATAAATCCTGAATTGAGAAAACCTAATCACGAATCTGCGATTGATGATCTATAAAAATAACAAGTTTCCATCGTTCAAGTTTGAACTCCTTGATTGGGTGAAAGTATTAAGAATATTCTCGGATATAATTATGAACATAAAAAAATGGATACATATAATATATAAAGAAATACATTGAGAATTCGCATTCTCTCTTTGGGATGAAAATATAAATTTTTTCTCGGATTATTCAACAGGAAACAACTACTTTCCAGGAATGTGGACCAGAATAAAACTTCCTGAGCAAACTCAGCCAGCTCAGCCTCCACAATTTTATTGCGAAAAATAACAAAAAACCATCAAAAAACGAATATCATCATATCACGTGATGGGAACGGTTCGAATGATTTAGGCACTTCAAGGTGTGCGGGCGGAAATGAATCGACAAAAGATCGACAACGACAAGTGAGTGGTGACAAGTGGTTTATTTTTGAAATTCTAATATTCTGTGTCACAGATGCCACAGACCACAGACAGCTTCAGAGAGGCCTCTCTCGAGTTTTTTCCACAGATTCTTTTAAATTCTGACATTTTGAGCGTTTGAGGTTAGACTGTGATACGACAAAGGCAGTTGAGGATGATTTGCAAAATATTCTATCACATCCCAGATTATTCATCAAGAATATCAAGATCCCACTCCCACTAGTCCCTGACTCCCTGCCTGTGTCCTGTCAAGTCATGTACCCAGCTCACCCCAGCTGTTTATAGAAAATCGTGAACGGACTTGAACTGACATTACTTGACGTCTGTAAATTCGTAAAGTGATTATTTGGTACGTGTTTTTAACAAAATTAAAAAGATTTTTGTCTGAAAAACGTTTCTGGGAGTTTGGAGAATTCACGAGAATATGAGCGAATTGAGTCAGGAAGAGGTAAGTACCCATCTTCAAAAAATTCCATTTATTTGGAAGCTTAAAGATTGTTTTCATTGTCTAGTCTAGATCATGAATAACAAATTTCTTTGTCAAACAACAAAAAAGGTTGATCGTTCCATAAATAGGTACTCATCAAAATGTGCTTGTCCTTTGTTATTAGTTTTCAGTTCATAAGATTAGTTTCATAAACAAAGAAAGGTGAATGATTGAACATGTTTTTATTTATGTTATTTTTCAAATTATGTGATTTTCTCTTTTCAGATAAGGCGCAGACGTCTAGCTCGTCTCTCTGCAAGAGACAGTGGCTCTCCTTCGAGTTCTGTATCTCCTCCAGTGACTCCTATTTCACAGTCACCTGTTATGCCAACAAAATCAGCAAATCCACCTATATTTGAATCTCAACTCTCCCCAACACAAAATGCCAAATTCCAGCCAAACAATGCAGAAATGAAAGAAGTCACTAGCGAAGTTCCAATTGAAGCAGTTTTCAAAGAGCCTAGTAAACCAATTGATATCAATATGCCCTCAAGTTCAAAAGTACACTCAAGAGCTCCACCACAAAGAAGTGATTCAGAAACTAGTTCAATTCATATGGAAGTTGATGAAGTCAGTGGATGTGCAGATAAAATTGGAGCTAACACAGATATTGATTCAGGATTTGAAAATATGGAGGTAAATATTTCATATTTCAATGGATACTGTTTGTGCATTGCTGTATTTATTCATTGTACAGGGCTAGTTTTATTAATATGAACCCCTCTTAATCTTTTTTGTTTTCCACCTATAAAAAAAATATAAAGATTTTATGCAATTATTTTTCATATAAGTTCCAATCATAGTGACAGTGTTGCAAATATTATCTAGCTGTATATTTTGCTAGATATAAATCCCTTATATCATATATTTGAAATCAGGATGAATTGAGAAATCCAAATCTATCAAAATATATGGCGTATTTCATTTGAAAAAAAAAAATTTCTATACCCTGTATATTTGAAGAGATATTGCATCATTGTCAATATGAGTGAAATCTGTATGAAAGATTTTATGAAATCAGCTTTAATGTTTTTCAATGAGTGTGAAACAAAAAAGATGAAGGGGGGCTCACATTAATAAAACTAGCCCTGTACATTTGCAGAGTGATTACTATAATTTGACCCCCCTTATTTACACTTTTTGAAGAGAGCAATGTTCATATGGTTTCATCTGGTTTCATCTTTTCAGTGGGTTTGTAAAGTCCCAAATTCATTCATAATTCAGATAAAAACTAGCACAAACAGGTATATTTTTTTTAATTCTGTTTTTCTGGACACTTCCATATACAGGGTGTCCAGAAAGGTCATCTGATGTAAATGATAGGGTTGATAGAGTGAACCAAAATAATGTTAGTACTTCATGTAAAAAAATGGCTATTGCAATTCATTATGGAGTTATTGACCTTGAAAGTTTGAATAAAAAAATATATTCTATTTATAACTTTTAAACTGTTGCCATGGTATTAATGATATTCAGGCAACTATAAATTAACTTATACTAATGCTCCTTGTGATATGTAAATGGCTGTCAGTGATTATTTTTTTATACATGATGGGACGATTTTTTTCTGTTTATTGGAGGCATATGGACTTGCTGAAACTTTCAAGGCCAATAACTTTGTAAGGAGGTGCAATAGACATTTTTTTGTATGAAGTTTTAACATTATTTTGTTCACTCTATCAGCCCTGCAACTACCATATTATTATGTTATTGAAAAAATAGAGTTTTTATTACCTTTGAAATGGTTGGGATGTATGTTTTTAAAATGAACAGTACAAGATATCCATTAAAATGAATGATACTATTTCTGTAGAAAAATGATGAAGGAATCAAAGGGTGTAAGCAAAATGTCAAATTTGCCACCTCTGTCAAAAATGCCTCCATTAAACAGTGAAAAATTGTCTCATCCTGTATAAAACATAATTAGTGGACAGCCATTTACATTTCAAAAGGAACATTAGTATAAGTTAATTTAGTTGCCAGAATATCATTCTACCAGCCCTATCATTTGGTATTGGTATTGGCGACCTAATTAGATCTATTGTGCCCCATCTGCTTCTGCTACATCAAGGATTTCTTGTTCATAGCAGCCCCTGGAGATTCAATTCCTTCAGGAATTTGAGGATTTTGAGGGATTCTTGCTGTGGTATTTCTTCCACAGTCAGCTGGTGTGTTCCCAGTATGTTCAATCTTTTGTGATGTACAGCGTCACACTCCATCAGTATGTGATGGAGTGTTTCTGGTTCTTCCTCACAGAATCTGCAGGTGCCTTCCTCCTGTAAGCCTAGCTTCCTTAGGTGTTCTTTGAGTCTGCAATGCCCCGTTAGAAATCCCGTTATTGCTTTGAGACTTCCTTTGTTGAGGTTTGTCAGTGTCTTAGATCTTTCTCGGTTGAAATTTCCAAGGAGATCTTTAGCGTGCCGTAGTCCTGGAAGTCTCCTCCGTTGTCTGGCTCTCCAGGCTTCTTCCGCCTTTTCAAGTTCTCCTTGGAAATGGGAATTTCCAAGGCCGCAGAATGGCTCTGGTCCGATCAGTGGCGTTGAAGCCCCTTGTCGTGCCAGAGTGTCTGCTTGTTCATTCCCTTCCACTCCAATATGCCCTGGCACCCAGAGGAGGATCACTTTATTGTTGCTGCCTAGCTCATTCAATTTGCTTAGGCATTCCTATACCATCTTGATGTAAGGAGAGCTCAACGCTTTGATGGCTGCTTGGCTATCGGATAAAATCGCGATGTCCTTCTTCCGGTATTACCAGTCTAGGTTGAACTGGGTGCATCTTCCTATGGCGTGTATTTCCGCTAGAAAAATGCTGGGGAATTGCCCCATGAATTCGAAGTATTTGGTGCGAGGCCCAAAGACTCCTGCTCCAGTTTCCTCGGTTGTTTTAGACCCGTCCGTATACCAAGTAATGGTGTTTCTTCCCAGTGATTCGATGTATTCTATGCTCCATTCGCGCTTGTTGCTCAGCTCCACTCGGAAGTTCTTCTCAAAACTGAACTTCCTAATGATTTGGTCTGTTGGAAGATCGGCGAGGTGTGCGATCTCAGTGGGGGGTGAGCCCCTTGCACTGTGCGTTTTCCCTCTTAGTCCGACCTTGGCTAACCTGAGATGTGCTCCATAGGCAGTTCTCCTCATCACGATGTGTAGAGGTGTGAGATCCAAAATGACCTCTAGTGCTGCTGTTAGAGCTGATCTCATTGCTGCTGTTATGCAAAGACATGCCAATCTTTGCACCTTCTCTAATATTTTCCTTGTAATGGCGAGTTAGGTTCTGCCGTGCCACACTACTGCTCCGTAGGTGATCATTGGTCTCACTAGCATGGTGTACATCCATCGCAGTATTGATGGATTACACCCCCACGTTTTGCCTGCAAGGTTCTTGCACACCATCAGTGATGATTTTGCCTTACTGGCGAACTTTTCTACGTGTCTATTCCAGAGAAGCTTTGAGTCTAGGATGAGCCCTAGATACTTCACTTCTTGCTGCCATTCTAGGTCTGCTCCGTCTAGACGGACGACTCTTAAGTGCTGAACCTTCGTTCTTCTAGTAAGAGGTAACAATGTGGTTTTCGTTGAGTTAATTCTCAACCCCACCGAATGGCACCATCTTCTGGTAGTCTCTAGCTCTCTCTCTATGAGGTCGCAGAGGGTCCCTTCAAATTTGCCTTTGGCCATGATGACTATGTCTTCCGCATATCCAAAGCAAGTTACTCCGTTCTCAGTAAGAATCCCGAGTAGTTCGTCTACTACTAGACTCCACATCAAGGGTGACAGTACCCCTCCTTGTGGACAGCCCCTGTTCGTACTGATTTGAAAGCTGCTCTCGCCCACTTTCGTTTCAGCTGTTCTTGTGGACAGCATTTGACACATCCATCTGGATGTGGTTCTGTCCACTCCCTTGTTCATTAGGGCTCTCTTTATTGCTTTATGAGAGGTGTTGTCAAATGCCCCCTCTATGTCTAGAAATGTGCATATGGCGATTTCTTTGTGCTCAAGTGATCTCTGGATGTTTTCGGTGAGCACAAAAACGGCGGTCTCGGTTGATCTGCCCGCTCTATATGCATGCTGTCCTGGGTGCAAAAGCACCCTCTCCAGTATCTCACATCTGATGTAGTTATCTACGATCTTCTCCAGTGTCTTCAGTGAGGATGTGAGACAGATCGGTCTGAATGACTTCGGAAGGGTAGGGTCCTTCTTCCTTACTTTGGGGATGAAAGTCACACGCGCTCTCGTCCAGCTGCTCGGTATGTACCCGGACGCCAGACTAAGGTTGGCTGCCTTGATAATGAACGGCAGTAGTTCCTTATGCCCTTTTTGTAAAAGGGCTGGAAATATGACGTCAATTCCAGGGGACTTGAATGGTTGGAAAGAGTCGATTGCCCACTTCAACCTTGCCGAAGTGCAAATGGTTTTTGCAACATCCTAGTCTTCTCGTTTTGCTCTGCCTGGTTCTTCCAGTATTCTTTCGGGATTATATGGTGTTCTACCTGGAAAGTGCGTCTCCAGTAAAAGGAGAGCTCGTTGCTCTTCATCTTCTGCTACCATCTGATCTTCTGAGAGACATTGGTCCTTGCTCTGACTGCAGGTGGACTTGAAGTGATTGTCTCACAAAAGTTCCTGAAACTATTTCTCTTAGCTTTCCTTATTTCTTTGTTGTGTCAGCCTTTCGGTGTAACCCTGCCAATCCAATCTCCGTCCTGCTTGGCTTTCTTGAATAGCCGGCGGACCTCGGATCTTAGATTTGACAGGCGTTCGTTCCACCAAATGGTACCACTGTTCTCTAATGGGGCAGCTGGATTCGTATGCATCCATGATTGCCCCATTAACTGCTTCTAATGTCTGCTCAAATTCGACGTGACTTTTGCCATTGAACTTGATTTGTTCTAAATTACATTTATGTTCAAAATATCAGTGAAATTGGTCTCACGAGTAAATATACCATGTATGCAGATGATACAGTACTTTTATATGAAGGCAAGTATCCTTCAAATTTAGAAAATATGATAAATGAATACTTGAAAATATTTTAAAAATGGCTCCACTCTAACCTTTTATCGATAAATACTAACAAAACAGAATATATGATTTTTCACCAAAAAAATAAACAAAAAATTTACCTTAACCTTGAAATAAAAAATGAACTCTTAAAACAAACTGACCAGATAAAATATTTTGGTATTTGGTTTGATGACAGGTTGAAGTGGGACAAACATATTGATGTTCTGACAAAAAAAATATCTCCAATTATTGGTGCATTGAGAAGATGTCCCAAACTTGATATTGAAATTGCAAACCTGATTCTCTACTCTCATATACTGAGTCGTATCAACTATTTAATAAATGTTTGGGGATCTTGTTCAAAAAATAATTTCAATAAAATATTATATAGAAAATCGTTAAAAGTATTGTATCGTCTTCCATTTGATACACCAACCAATCAATTGTATGAAATAACAAATACGTATTCTTTAGATGAAATATATAGAATTATAACTCTTAAAATATCATATAATATCATAAATAAAAAATTGAAGTCGAATATTATTTTGATACGAAATTCTGACATTCATAATCATGAAACTAGACAATATAACTTGTTTCATCTTGACGCCGCTAGCTCTATAATCGGACAAAAAATATTCACTCATCTGGCAATATAAAAAATTGTAGAAATATAGGTACATTCAAAAATGAAGTAAAAAAAAACTGATTATTTCTGAGCGAACTGGAGAAAATTAATCATGCAATTTTGTTTACAAATATTATTCTTTGTTTGCCAATTTACAGTTGTTGATATATTTTGAATAATGATATGTTTACCTATAGGTATATAATTATGTACTTCCTTATACCAGACCCTATTCTGTCTGGAAGTTATTTGTTCAATAAATAAATAAAAAAAAATACTCAATGAAATTTTGTTTTGACCAACATGCATGTTTACAGGGATATAGACGGATGCACCTTTTTTAATGGTGTTTTCTACGGAGGAGTAGATTTATCGTTTTATTTTTCAGGTTGACGAATCCGATGTTCAAAAGAAGGACATCCAAAAACAAAAAGCAGCGTCCCCTTCCGCCGAGCTGTCGGTCGAGCGACTTCAGAACACGGTCGCACGCGTGCTGCAATGCTCGTTCAAAGAAGAGTCCGAAACCCGTTTGTACCTGCCGGAGATCGCCGTTCATCTCAAAGCGCATCCGCAAACATCGATGAGAGACCTCATGTCAAATGCTGTCATGGAAATCTTGTTTGTGCTGGTCAAGGGCGAGAACCCTTTCAAGGTAGAACCATTTTTGGGAATTCATATATCGATTTTTTTTGGAAGGGGGGGGGGATTTTCCCTCCTCGTTTCCAGAAATGTTTTGGCTATATTATTAATTCAAGCTTGTATGTACACATTGTGCTGTTGTATGTACAATGCACAAAAAATGCAGCAAGAGATGAAGAAATACGTTTTTTCAGGTAAATTGTGATCTAAAAGTACTGTAGGCACTCACATAGTTTTCATTTGAAATTTTTGTCATAGATAGAAAATAAGCGTACCCCACCTATCGAAGTTTTTGTCTGTCAAAGCGGTCTGTTCACTTTGTTTTCATCGGTTCACATTTGTATTTCGTTTATGGGGGTTTTCGGAGTCAGAGTCTATGATTCTTTCGTCAAAACAGACTGTCTGTGAGAGACAGCCATACAGAAACCAACGCAGCAGAACTTGGAAGTGGGGGAGAGAAGCAGTCTAAGACAAAAAAAGTCACCCTGCATAACCCTTCCAACATTCTCCTCTACCAAAAAACTAAAATAGAACCTATCCTCACCCGTATCACCAGACTGACCAAGAAATTTGCAAACAAACAAGAAAATATCACCCTTATACAGCCCCTCATTCAACAAACCAATCCCCTTATTCCAATCCAGACAAAATACCAACAGATAGAATAATAATGTATAAAATGCACTTTTTTTCCATAATTCACTTTGTAAAATCACTACTCAAATAATAATGCTTTTGAAATACATAAAATGATTTTGTATATACTGGCAGGAAGACTTGGGTCGTTAGCCATTTGGCATAATGTATTTTTTATTTTATCTCCAATAAAGTTTATTTTCTTCCGCTTCTTCAAGATGGCAGATTCAATATGGCGGACAAGATTTGTAATTATCATCCGATTCTATTCAGAATTTGTATCTGGGGATTTTCGGGGTTGGAGATGATTTTTTTCTTCAAAATTGGGAAAATCAAGATGAAATTACAAAATAAAACAATAAACTGCATTTCCAATTTACCTTTTTTAGAATCAACTGTAAATCTATACATACCTTAAGACTAGTTCCATTATATTTCCATTATATAAACTGAATATTTGTTTTATTCATTTTGTCAGGAAGGAATTGAAAATATATAATTTGAATTTTACTGAAATTATTAGGATTCACGCCCATGAAACAAGGCAATTTGATGTATTGATAGCAAATAATTATAATTCAAATTTTGGTAAACAATCAATATTCCATAATGGAATAACTTTATATAATTCCTTACCTAATGAGTTGAAAAATATAAAAGAATCAGAAAGATTTAAAATCAATTTGAAGAAATATCTGTTGTTTATTTCAATAACTTAGATTTAAAAACGCATGAATAATCTCATACCAGATATGAATCTGTCTGATTATTCATGTTATTTCATTGTAAATGTTAATAAAATACATTCATATTTATATGAGATGCAATGTTATGTTTATAGCAAAGAATGAAATAAATATATTATTATTAAAATAATGTTTTTTTTTAACAATAATTGTGTAATTATTATTGTTCTGATTTATTATGTTATATATGAGTTGTTGTATGTATCCCTATTATAGGTCTTGGCACACTACAACTCCGAAATGTGCGATACCAGCAGCACCGGGTCGTTTTCTGCTAGCCCGCAGAATTTGAGTCCCTCTCCTGGAGCTTGTCCGATTCCCCTTCTGACGATGAAGAGTACCGAGGATGCCAATCAGAGCCCCATGAAGTTGGCGCTGAATTTTCTCATGGATTCCTACAATAGGGTTAGCGTGGAGGAGCGGAACCATCCGAAGAGGTCCAGCGTTCCTCCGTTGAGCGACGTGTTGACCGAGTTGAGAGCCCAAATTATACATTACACGACGTTAATTGTCCAAGGTGAGAATTTCAGACGCATAAAGAGTGATGTTGAATGGTGGAAAATAGAGTAAAGTAGAGTGGAGTAGTTTATTTAACCATGTTACATTAACTAGAAAAGAGATAATTGGACATAGCCCTCACAAAATGATAACCGTATACACGTGTTTCGGGCTTTCGGCCCTCATCAGTACGGTGAAAATAAGTGCAAAAGATGGGCAGCACTTGGTAGAAAACGAAACAACAAATAAACCAAGTGCTGCCCATCTTTTGCACTTCCTTTCACCATACTGATGAGGGCCGAAAGCCCGAAACACGTGTATACGGTTATCATTTTGTGAGGGCTATGTCCAATTATCTCTTTCCTAGTCACTTTACAGTTCCCTCGATATCACTTTCATCTTCATGTTACATTATACAGATAATTTTATGGCAGGTCAGAGAAGTACAGTAGAGACTATTTTTATAACAAGTTAAAATACCGACACTCAAATGTAATAAAATTGCATTAAAAATTCTACGAATGCTGGGTGACAATGTTTCACATGAATCTTAAGAGTAAACAGTAAATAAATTATGAGAATAATTGATAATTAAAAGTTATACAGATAAAAAAAATATAGATAAACAAAATTTAATATTTAACAGTGGCCAACAGTAAGCTACATTTTCCATGATACCAGAAAAATGTCTGCGAAAGTGGTGGGACTCGAACTCACCTACCGGTAATCCAACGTGGATATAAACTGAAACCTCTACCTACGCTAGCCACTGGAATGTATTCATTATAATTATTCCGACAACAATTCATTTCGAGTTTCGTGTCATCGCCTTAGAACGACAAACATTCCATCGCCAGTTCTCCAGATGGCTCTCGCTTAATCTACTCCGTGATTGTTTCAAGGCCACGTCATACCTCGCGAAGACCGGTCCGAATCGCCGCTGCTGCAGCCCATCCTGCAGCAATCGCTGCCCAGAGGCTTCCTCACCGAGCTCGTGACGCGCACCCACACCAACGAGCGGCTTTTCTCGGCTGTGTTCAGCCCCGTGCTGCAGGGCCTGTGCGAGATGATGCGACACGCGAGCATCGTTGGCGACGAGCACCGTGTGCCCCTGCAGACGCTGTTCGAACTGGCTGATATCCGGTGCGGGGCTCGGCCGATATGCAGTCTCATCGCGAAGGTAATTAGATATATAGATAATCTTTATTTGTTCCTTTGAAATCACAGCCTTAAGTAGGCGTGGAACTTTCCAAGTTGTAGTATGTAGGTACACGAAAAATAGATCGAACAACACTGCTGTTTTGACGTTTTTGTATATTCAGAGTATGAACACTGCACTGACAGTCAGACATAACCACAAATAAATTGATAAGAATACTCAACCTGTGCACAATGGACTGAACGATTTAGACCATGCTTGGCCTCATTTTAAATGAGACTACGTGGACCACGGTCTGATCCATAATCTGACTACGGTCTGAACGAATTGAGACGAATTGACCATGGTCCGAACTGCCGCTGAACGTAGCCCTACTGTGGCCTTTAGGAAGACGTTCTATGTTCCTCTCGCATTCCACAGCAAATCCAATTCATGCCGACGCCCTGCACACCCGCTCAGGGCCGCGAGATAACACGCACGTCCTACCTGGGCCCCTTCCTGTGCGTGTCGGTGTTCGCCGAGGACGAGCCGAAGGTGGCCGAGAAGTTCTTCTCGGGCAGCTCGACGGGCGACAAGAGCCTCATCCAGGTGCTGCAGGCCGAGCTGGAGAACGCCAGAGGGCTGCAGCACCGCATCTTCCACTACATGATGGCGAACCAGGAGAGCAGGGACGCCTGTCTGGCGTATTTGGGAAAGCTGTTGAAGTACAATGAGAAAAGGTGGGTTATTTTTTGGGGAGGGCATATGTTTTCACTTATCCGTCACAGCTTTTCAAATAAGTAATGATATACATTTGAGAAGTCTGAGTATCAGTCATATTCATGAGTACCCGGTAGGAAGTTACTTTTGAGCCTGCCTAAACGCTGTAGGTTAGATCGTGATCATCGGAAGAATACTTGAGTGTTTTATTGCGAATTGCAATGGGGAAGTTTCCTTCAAATGAATTTTCATAAAATAAGTAGTTTCATATCCACGATGTACAGATTGGCGATCGTTAATTTCCAATTTTCGGAGCGGCAAACTGACGTACATCCTGAATCTAGTATAATTTAGCTGATGATGAAGAATATAGCTAGCGAATAGCCAACGAATGAAAACGAATAAAAAAAATAGAAGAAGAAGACAACTTGGCGTCGTTGTTGATGTTTATATCTTAAAATATCGATGATCATTGATCACCTGACTAATAAAACAACTATAAACTGTAGACATAGGCTAACGAATAACTGGAGATGAAAAATCGACACAAGTAAAACTGGTAAACAAAAACATAACCACAATATCAGATCAGCCGTCGATTTGCCTGTTAGTATTTCGTGTCATGTAGAGTAGAGTGAGTAGATTAAATGGTGTGACGATTATAGACCTCCGAATGGCTGCCGTTTCCGGAATGCCAAGTCACCGAATAGCTAAAAATCTGAAGGGTGTCTTCCATGCATTAATGAATTTGCGCCTTCGAAGTGCCCACCTGATGTTAGGTTTAAATATTTGATAATTTTCTTTCATCATCCAAATAATCTGAGACCCCCAAGTAAAGTTTATGCAAAGTCAGTCGAACAAATCATCAAACTAATGTCGGGCCGCGCTGCCGCACTCTTTGAACTTTCAAAGGGACCGACGGCTGGCGGTGATGTGATTTTCCAACTGACTTTGCATTAACTATACCAAAAGACGGATTCTAATAGTTGATATTCAAGGTACTGAAGTATAGAGTTTCATGTCTGATTGTTGAATGTTTTGTGTCCAAGGAGCAAAAAATAGACAAAGCATTGATGAAGTAAAATAGAAAACGTAGAACTGAATGGAGAAAACAATACAGGTGGATGCATCTCCATATTAAGTACTGACCAATCAAAAAGTGAACAACTATTGTCGTCACTCTATTTATAAAAGTCACTCTAGTGTTTTTTTTTGTTTTTTTTTAGCGTTTATTTCATCCCCAAAATACACAGAGTGTTACATAGGGATACCTTTAATAATAGGTACAAAAATAATTTGATATCACACACTTCTGCCCTTCGTGGGCATGTCAATAATCAATCACTATATCTACAGGTAAACATATAAGAAATGTATAAAGTTAAATTCTAAATATAAAAATTACGGTAGAATAACACAATAAACAAGTTAAGATGTATCACAGTGAAATAGTTGAGATAATAAAATATTTGGTTAGATATATCACAGTAGTAGGTTAATGACTGATATAATGAAATAGTGGACAGACTCAAAGTATTATGCGCTGTTGCAAGATATAATCTGCAACTTTGATAGAAAATAGATCCGTTTTATAAAGGAACGAATTCATTTGCAAAATGAATGACAAGTTATGATTATCACTTTGTGATATAACCAAAGTGAAAATTATTGATCCTTTTGCGAAATATCATAATGAACCTTTATTAGTAATAAACTTCAGCCAGCAAATACGAAGATATAACCAAAGTGAAAATTATTGATCCTTTTGCGAAATATCATAATGAACCTTTATTAGTAATAAACTTCAGCCAGCAAATACGAAATTTATGAAAATTATTCATAATAATCGGCGAAGTAGGATTTGAAAAAACTGTTATATCCCATTGTTGTTATCCTATTGTTATAATTTATTAAAAGAACAATTTTCGGAATTCTAGATGTATCGATGATGCAGGCAACGTCATATTGAAAAGGGGAATCGTATTTCAACTTTCCTTATGCATACTATTTTTTCATGACAATGTCTATTGTGGTTTCCAGGTCACAAATACAAATGGAAGAAAGGACATTGGCTGGCGATGGGTTCATGCTCAATTTGTTGAGTATCCTGCAAAATCTGTCGGTCAAAATCAAACTCGACAAAGTGGACTTCATTTATCCCTTCCACCCAGGCACTATGATCAATATAAAAAACGATACAAGGCTGAAATACACATCTCAGGAAGTCAGCGATTGGTTGGAAGAGTTCGGTGAGTTCATAAAATGAGCATATAAAAATTTCACACAAAAGTCGTCCATTTTGATACCAAAATTAGCTCTTAAATTGACGTATCTATTACTGACACAAAAATAGGTATGTTGCTTGGCAACATATTTAGTTCCTAGGAGCTAAAGTTGAATTTTAGTTCCTAGGAGCTAAAGTTGAACTTTAGCTCCTAGGAACTAAGAAGGATCTACTGGACGTCATCAAGAATAAACAACATTGTGATGGTTGGTTATTTGGGCTGAGAGGCATACCTGATTTGTTCCCGATTTCAGCAGATTTGGCATTTCATACCCATGCTGGAGATATAGATACACCTTATTATAGTTTAGTATTGGAATTATTAACATCTCCATCTCAGTTAAGTATTTTTGTTTTGATCAGGGAAGCCCTCAAGATTCAAATACTTGCTTGATCTGTATTTCATTCGTTATTCTCGGAATGGATAACTTGTTTTTGGATAATCACGGCAAGCAATAGTTCTTTGTCTCAAACAACGATATTGTTAACCTTCATTTGATTATCAAGCGACAAACAAGTATTACGGAGAGGAAAAAATAATTGCCCTTCTTATTGTTGATGTGCTCACTAACCTAACATTTTCCAAGTCTTGTTTCTATAGCTGGCACTGACGCGGTATTTGCCATAAGAGCACCTGGTCCACACACAAATATGTCACTCTGTGATTGTATTTATATTGAAACTACAATTCGAACATCCTTGAAAATTGAATGAACATGCTGTTGATGCAGATAGAATGTTCTCACCACACGGATTATTTTTCAGTATTTGTTGCATTGCATACATATGGCACGGTATTGGTGGTAACTTCACATATTTATTTGAGTTATTTGTTTCGGTTGCAGAAAAAATAGCATGTTTCATTCGGATCAAAAGTGATTTTGTTCGACTCGCAAATTTTGCTTTCGCTCGGCTTCGCTAAACGCTCCGCCTCGCAAATGCAAAATTCGCTTGTCAAACAAAGTGTCACTTTTGATCCTAATAAAACAATCTACTATTATTGGTCAATTCTGACAATAGGCGAGTAGACTATTTTTTTATTTTTCAAATAGAATAATCACTCAACCACCTTTCAATTCCATGCTTTTTTTTGGTCGATTTCGAGGTTCTAAAATCATCAACAATGCCACGGTGATTTTCAAACGGCTAGAAATTTACCGCAAATAAGAAGTGACGTCACGATTTCGTAAGTAGGGACAGACAATAGCAGAGTTGCCATGTATTGGTAATGTTCTCAATTAGCTATGAAGAATCAATTGTCTCAAAATTTTCTCTTTTATGTGTTGTGGCTTAGTGTTTATAATAAATTTGTGTAAATAATAATTAATTATATTAATTCACACTGGAGGATATTTGGTCCGGTAAACGTGACAACACGGTACGGCTTGTGGGCGTTGTCTTGTCACTTCTCAGCATTCAGCACTTTTTGTTGCCAAGTCTGCAGCCAACATTTACATGTTATTTTGTTATGGAGTATAAAAAATATTTCGACAATCTGGTTGCTGGAAAAAGTTGAAAATAAATAACTATAATATCATGTCTTCCTCCTATTAGGTCAAATAAATTGTTTAATTTAGATGTAGTTTTATTCAGCGACAGAAATCTACATCTTTTTATCAACTTGATTATAACTGGTGACTTGACAACCTTGCTACATGAGTGGGAATTGAAGATTATCTGATCAATAAGGAAACAGCATATATCAGTCCAGTAGCCCTTTAGCAATGCATTTCCGTGGTTTCATGAACAGTCTAAATTTTATGATGGATTTGCACTAGTGCAATAATCGATAATCACACTCATGCAGATTCTGATAGTACAAGCAACTCAGTTATTCTTTGTGGAAACTAGGAACATAAATCGACTTGAATATTGAAATAATGCAGTGAAAATGACCTATAATTTCTGTCTAATCTACTCATGCAAACTAAAAGAAGCAGGAATATGAGACATTTTTCATGAAAATTCTTTGAGACACTATCAAAAGAAAATCACAAAATAAACAAGAATATAAGAATAAAAGCAATCCATTTCATTTTTACTCTAGAGAGGACCCATGAGCACCAAGTTCCCAACTTTTCCACAATTTGCTGGTTCTTAACTCTACACTGCCATCACTTATCTCTTATGCCTGCTCTGCAAAAGTACCAGAGAAGGTTGCGTGCCATTAGAGACCTCCAAAAACTGTTAGACGAAACGGTAGCAGCCGAAGCACAATGGCGGAACACTCCGTTCGCTAATAGAAATAAGCAGTTCATCAAGAGATGGAAACAGCAACTGAAGAAATTGAATAAGTGAGTTAGACAGGTTTTTCTTCAAATTGTCATTTTAAAATCACAAATAATGATTATAATGAGGAAAGTTATATATTTATTCATTCTCGAAATAAGTATTTTTGTTTTTTTTTTTTGAAAACAATTGTACAATAATTATTTCTGATTGTATATTTTCTTGAACTAATTATAGTTTTTATGTATCAAGGGCGTGACATAGCCTGTAAATAGCTCTGATTATCAACATTTTATGCATAACCGTTTTTCACATCCATTCAGTGTCAATATGGTATTTAATAATGATTTTGAATTAATTCAGCCAATTATGGATACCACTAGGGAAGAAAGAAAAAAAAAGTAGTTCACTAGAAATTACTGAAAAAACATTGAAATTACTTTTAACGCCCGCCGGACTACTATAACGTCCGCTATACCCATAGACATATAAAATGATGATGACAAATTTCTGCGTATTGCCCTAGATCGACCGCCTGGGCAGAAAAAAATTGTGAATTTTAAGTGAAGCCGGACCTGGATTCAATCTCTTATTGATGCCTCAATCAATTCCACAGGATAGATTGAGTAGGTGTACCAATTTAAAAAAAAACATACAGGTTGGTTGGAAGGTTATGAGACAATAAAGATATTGTCAAAATTGATGAAACATCCCGTATCTCGGTGATAAGATGTCAAAGACCCATTAACCATGGGTTTTTTGAAATCACCTCAGTGACCCTTATCCACAGTTGAAATATTTACCTTTCCCAATAAAACACCCTGTATATGATTTTATCCAAGAACGCATATATTTGAGAGCGTCGTTCTTGAAATTGTACAGTAATTGAAGCTAAAGTCACTGGATGATTATCAAACTAATACTACCCAGTATTCGCGAGATTCACGAAGTGGGCGACATCTAGGTTACATAATACGAACTTCAAACTGGGGGAAAACAAACTGTTGTCTATGAATGAAGTGCATAGACTACATTGCATTCAGCTTGTTGTAGCTTTAGTCAAACTTGTCAATGACATAAAGTGTTGGCACTGTTGGTAGTGATGATGGTTGAGTTGATTATTTTTTTTTACATTATTACATTTTTATTAGTTTAGTGTACAGTGAACGGGTGAAGAATTTGAGATAGTTCCAACAATTCAAACTAATTATGACGAGCAAATCAATTGACGTATAAAAGAACAGCCACAATATGTTTACAATACCCAGATTGTCCTGCTTTGCATGAATAAATACGAATCCATTGTTTATAGGACTTCCTCTCTCGCTTCCTCTGGACCCCAACTTCAATTTTACTTCATGTGGGAATTATTTCATCGCCGAAGTTTGTAGACAAAGTGCAAAAATGTGCCTTTTGTTGAAGTCTTCTGCCTCACACAAAATCACATGATTAGCACGGAGAACTGCTTCTCCTTCCACTACTGGTCAGCTTTCTCCGTCTAAATAGAGCAAAATATCTGCCAAAAGAACATCTACAACGGGCATTATTAGCGTTTTCGACCGAATATTGACAATTAATGTCAGGAAATTCACAAACTTATCACTTTTATCAGTACACAGTACACAAGCTAATGGCACTAATGGGATTGAGTGAGGATTGAGTTTGTTTTCCCCCAGTTTTGACGTGGCTTTGACATGGAACGATGAAAACCGAGCGCCACCTGGTAACATTGATTCCCGCGAATAATTGAACCAAACGAAAATCAATTTGACATTTCTGTCACATTGAATTTGTCTATTGGGTAATTGCATTTTATTCAAAGTTTCGATTGAGTAAGTTTAGAATATAAGGAAGTGTATGACATCATTGGAGTTCATAAAGGACATTGTTGTTTGTTTTATAGTAGATAATGATGGAGATACTCATTAGGTCTCCGAGCAGTTGTATGATCGAAGGTTTTGGTACTTGGGTAGCACAAATCTTATACATATATCTCTACCACGAAAGCAAGCTAAAGTCAATTCATTTTACCTCCCACGGGAGGAAAAAAATAGTACCTAATTGACAGGTTTGTGTCTTTAAATGATAGAGCAAACGCTTACTTTCGATGCAGTGAGTTGATAAAATTAGGTAGGTACCTAACTTCGAGTTTTTGTTATCAAAATCAAAAGATTACACCCAAACATTTTCTTATAGGTATAATAGCATTGTCATTGTAACATTTTCTTGTCCATCGCTTAACCTACGCGACTGGTAAAGACAAATGTGAACAATGACGCTGAGTTTTAAAGCGTTGCGATTCTTTAAAGTCATCTCTTTCTAACTTATTGGAGACTTTGTATGATTGTAAACACATAGTGCTTTATTAAGTGCTACTGCACGCCTGCAAATTCGATCGATTAAATGCCCGGTGGCGCAAAAAAATTATTTATCTCAACTTTGTATTTGATATTGTTTATTTCAGATCCAAAGCATGCGCGGATGCTGGCCTGCTCGACAAGAACCTGATGCGCAGATCTTTGATATTCTATACGAGCGTGTCCGAATTTCTCTTGAGTCTGATGACGAACTCTGCATCTTGCAGTTCAGTACCTGATTTGCCACTGCCCGCCACAGCTCCGGCATTCTCCGCCATGCCAGAGTGGTATGTCGAGGATATCGCCGAGTTTCTTCTATTCGCCTTACAGTGAGTAATAGAATCCAAATCTATAGGCATTCAGGAAAGAATCACTTCTATCAGTATTCGTTTATACTAGTCGATGCATAGATTTCGGGAGGATGTATTCAATGTTCTGTTGTTGTTTTTCTCCCGAAATCTACCGTTGTTGTTCATTTTATGAACGTTGTGTGGAAATGACTGAGCTTTTGTATTTATTTAACATTTCATTCCACTTTGAGCATTGTGACCATTTCGTAGTTGACACTGTAGTTTGTTAGTTTGTTCGTTGGTTTGTATGTCCATGCAATGTGGAATCTTCGAACGTGTGACCAAATTTTTGACAGACTTCAAAACGTTCAATTGATTTGGCAGGTGTACATAATTCTGGTGACAATGCATCATGAAATTTTTGTAGGACAAAAAACAAAATGGCGTACGAGTTTTGTAATTATGATACCATTCTATTCAAAGTTGGTATCTGGGGGTTTTCGGGGTCGGAGATTATTATTCTTCCGTCAAAATTGTGAAATTCAAGATGGCGGATCCAATATGATAGACGGGTTTTGTAATTATGATCCGATTTAATTTAAAATTGATATCTGGGAGTTTTCGGGTCCGGAGATTATGATTCTTTTGTCAAAATTAGGAAATTTGAGATGGTGAATCCAATATGGCGGACGCGTTTTGTAATTTTGATCAAATTCTATTCAGAATTGGTAACTGGGTGTTTTCGGGGTCGGAGAATATGATTCTTTCGTCAAAATTAGGAAATTGAAGATGGCGAATTCAATATGGCGGACGTGTTTTGCGATTATGATCAGATTCTATTCAAAATTGGTATCTGGGGATTTTCGGGGTCGGAATTATGATTCATCCGTCAAAATTGGGTTACAAATATATAAATATAAAAACACTAAAAAACAGGTAAAAATAGAAAATAAATAGTACTTTCAAAAACTGAATAATCACGCTTTTATAGATAGCCAAAATAAAAAGAAGTGCAATATGAATAGTAGTTAAAAAAACTAAAGAAACACTCTTTATCAGATAGCCAAACTAAAAAGAAGTAGAAAATAAAATAATAGTAGTATGTCGATAAATACACATCTCAAAAAATATTAGCACCTCCAATCAGTATTTATCAACACACTTTTATTATTTTATTTCCCACTTCTTTTTAATTTGGCTATCTAATAAAGCGTGTTTCTTTAGTTTTTTAAACTAATATTCATTTTTTGAAGAAATTTCGGGTTGTCATTATGAAAGCTTGTACAGAGTAGTTGTCGTGAAATAGAAAGCAATAGTTTCAACTTCTACTACACCTAGTATCTCAAATATGAAGAAAGTTATGACACATTTTTATACAAACTGTTTTCCATAAAATAAAATGAGAAACACTCCACCAGTTCCAACCAATGGAATTCGCTATTACTCATGTTTCCGAACAAGTTTTAACTCATGGGGCGTTGGTTCCAGTGCTGGACCAACGAGGGAAGGCATTAAAAAAAAACACCAAGTGAAATAAGTCGATGTCGGAACTCGTGAATGAAAGTGTTGGTCCTTTTAAGGCCAGCAAGTTGGATTCTCTTTGTGTGGTCGGATTTACTGGCCTCCAAATAAGCACGGAGTTGGTTCAAAGGGATTTCTTTGCTCCAAAATCATCCAGTATGACAAAAATGGCAAATCTTGTAACGCCATAAGCACAACTACAAGAATGCAAATCTCAAACCTAATACTTACACGAAATATAGTATTTGAAATTATTTCCCTTGGAAACCAAAAGCTGTTTCAATAAAAGTGTTGGAATACAAACCGCTCAGAAGTGTTCGATTTGTTGCCGTCAGTTGGGGCAACGTGATATTTTCTATCGCGAATAGCATATAAAAAGCAAAAGTGTTTTTGGGGAGCCCGGGTCCTACGCATATCTATAAACTTTAGGTTAACGACTGGGAAATTTGGTACAAATGAGCATACAAGGTGTACCAAATAAACAGACAAAAATCTACAATTACCTAATTTATAAAAATAGTGAATACCGACGAGAATTATATTGAGAACTAGGCGTGTTGCTACATGTTGATGACATTATTCAACCAAATTTTGATTAATTACCGATATTCAATGATATTATATTCTAGGTATTTTCCGAGTGTAATCGCCGACAATATGGAAGACAGCTTGATCACCTGGCTGCTGGTGACGATATGCTCCTCCAGCATGGTAAAAAACCCCTACCTAGTTGCCAAATTAGTCGAAGTAGTGTTCGTTATCCTGCCGACCATACAGCCGCGTTGCGAGGTGCTCTACTCGCGCCTCATGAACCACACCATTGCGCAGACGCTGCTGCCCAGTTCGCTGATGAAGTTCTACACGGAAGTGGAGACGACTGGGTCCAGCTCGGAGTTCTACGATAAGTTTTCCATTAGATATCACATTAGTTTAATTATTAAGAGTGAGTATTTCGTTTTTCTATATGACCATCTTTAAAAACTACATATTACTGACCTTATCCTTAGACAATTGAGGGTTCTCGCATCGTTCATATGGACTGCTACTGCTTAAGGTAGAAACATGCCAACAAGGAAAAAAATACTCGCATGCGCTTGCAATGACGTTTTGATTTTTGAATGACACATATCAAGAACATATTTGTTTTGAAATTGAATGCAGTAGAATCTTTACCGGATCTGGTAAAATTGGCACCCTGTGGAGTCAGAGGCACAAAAACCATAAATGAAGAAGAAAAAGAAGAAGTTGAAGTTTGACTACCATTGATAGAACTATTCGCGATTGAAAATAAGCGTACGCCACCTATCGGACTTTTTGAAATCTGTCATAGCGGTCTGTTTACTTTGTTTTCATTGGTTCACATTTGTTCTTGATTTATTTTTTTAACTTTTATTTCAGTTATTGTCTTACATTTTGTCTTCATCGATTCATTTTATGCAAATAATATATAAGTATAATCATATGTTGTGAGTTCTTCGTCAGAACAAATATAGTGTTGTCTTTTTAATCGCCCAATCGGAATCTTGTTCAAAACGTCTTAACACAAAGTCTTAATTTTTATTGACATTAACAACTTACTTTAACAAATATAATACAAATACATATAGCGCCTACAACACTTTATTATAAGTGTTCAAGTTGCTGCCGTTAGGTGGGGGGTAACGTGCTTTTTTCTTTCGCCAATAGGCTATATCGGTTAACGGTATCTTCAATCAAATATCGGTAACTTATCTCTGCCTCAATACAGCTGATCAAATAATTTCTTGACATGTTTTCAATGAATTACCTACACCGTTATATAAAATTTGTAGTGATTTTTCGAAAATGACATAATTAACTATCTCAGTTCTGGGTGCTCTTATTATTGGTACACAAAAAATTCACTTATTCGTTTTTCCCTAAGTTCAGTTGAGTATTTGTTGTTACAGGATTTTAAAACTCGCCTCATTCAACTGTGATATGCTGACATCCGCTGTAACGATCTTAGAGTCTTTAAGAGATGCTGATGTAGTCTTCTATTAATGTTGGCATATTTTCAACACATAACTAATACAGGCGATTAGCAGTCAGTTTGAGCAAAGCAAGATCCTTAATTATCTAAGATTATTTGTCACGTTCACTGATATGTATTTTATAACTATAATAACCTCACGAAAAAAATGCCGAGTTAATAGAAAATATCAATTTTATAATAATATGCGACACCTTCACATCACATGCATTTCCATTAGTTTATTTTTCAGCCCTTTTGGGATTGAAATCTAAATTTGTTCTGTTGTGGGCTGTAAGACATAACCTCTGAATGATAAGTATAACTATTAATTTAATTCTATTTCACTTGACGATGTAATATGAATACAATACGAATAGAAATGAAAAATAATGTCTCAAAAAAAACTTCATATAGTAAAATAGTTTTGAAATCATGAGACATCTCTTGCTGTGCCATTAGATATATGAAAGCATTCGGTTGGTACCAAGGACTTCCTTCATAAACTCCAATCAAATGGCTTACCACCTCAGCTATACCATGTGGTGGTGGATGAAGTATCGTCTGATACCTTAGCCACAGATTAACATACCTATCAATTCCGGCGTTCACAAGGATCCATTTTAGCACCAACGTTGTTCATACCCCATATCAATGATCTGTTGGGAGACACCAATTGTCCTATCCTCATCTTCGCAAATTACAGTACTCTCCCGAACTATATCTAAACAGAAAATAAATTCACCCATTACAATATGGGATTCTTTGGGATTATATTGTTGTTTTATTTTCAAGAAATGTGGTCATCCCCCGTCCATCGCCAAGCACTGATCAACGAATCTCGCAGCGGCCAGCAATTCGTCAAGTTCGTCAACATGCTCATGAATGACACTACTTTTTTGCTGGACGAGTCCCTGGAATCTCTCAAGCGCATCCATGAGGTATTTATTTCTCTTGTTTCTCAATTCGTTTGATTGGTCATTCAGTGAACATAACCCAGCGTCTCTTAAACATCAACCATTCAAAGTATATGAAATCATTCGATCAACCATGAACTGATGATCCTGAACTGATGTTTTACACTAGAGTGAAATAATACAGTCGAACACATCTATTACCTTAATGGAGAAATTATTATCCAGTTGAGAATAATACGATATCATATATGCGATGCACCATATACTTGTAATAGATACAGTGAGGACGTAAAAAGTCCTTTCCCCCTTTAAATATTGAAAGAAACGAGCTAGCAAAGTCAAGTAAAATTCAGCTAAAAATCTACCTCTTTTACTACGTTTGGGCATGAAAATGGTTGTGGTCACGTGGCATAGTGTCAAGAGGTGTTATTCCTTTGACTGTGTCTCCCATGAAATACTTCTTGAGATACTAAACCACTATGGAATCAGAGGCGTCACTCTCAGTCTCATTGAATCATATTTAAGCGATCGATTTCAAACAGTATACTACAATAATGAACTATCTGATTTCAAAGGTGTTAGATTTGGTGTACTACAAAGTTCTGTGCTAGGGCCTTTACTGTTTATAATATATATTAATGATTTACCCACTTTTTTATCCCCATACAATAGCGTTATATTTGCAGACGACATGACACTAATATATTCTCATGAAAATCACGATTCATCTCTTGTCTGATGAAATTGAAGAGAAAGCCATGAACTGGTTTATAGCACACAATCTCAAATTAAACAGTGACAAATCACAAAATTGAATAGTCTCTACCAGCATAGAAATATGAGGAAAGGAATGTAAAATTTTTGGGTCTCACTTTGGATGAGAAGCTAAACTGGGTAAGTCATATCAGGCAACTGAACCTTAAATTATCCAGCTCAATCTTCAATATGCGACAACTTAGGCACCTTACTAATATTAATACACTCAGAACATTATACTTTTCTCTATTTCAAACCCATCTCAATTATGGGATTGTTCTCTGGGGTAACTCATCGGCAGCACTTACAGTTTTTCGACAACAAAAAAAGCAATAAGAATCCTGAGTAACGCCAATTACAGTGAAACCTGCCGATTACTATTCAGGAAATTGGATATCATGACCCTCCCTTCACTTTATATTCGCAATACTGTGTCCGAAATTCATAAAAATGTTTCTTCCATGACTACACAATCAGATTTACATAATTATAACACCAGAGGATCGTTTAGTATAAGTGTCCCCAGATATAGGCTCACAAAATCATTTTACGGAAACTGGGGTGGTTAAATGGCTATTGGCGAGCAATGTATATCACTGAAGATGACTCCACTTTGTCATAGAGTGCATGTAAGATATAGGGGTGTTTCCATTAGAAGTGGTTCACACTGTATATACACATATTATATAACATTAAAAAAATAATTATTGAGCTATGTCAATATAACATAATAATTAAAATAAAATCATTCAAGGTATTCAAATGAGAATAAATTGCTCCGTTTATAGTGTCATCAATATGTTTCAAATCATAAGGAAATGAATTATATAAAATGATTCACTCGTAGAATACTGATTGCTCGCCAATAATGGAGTTATATGGGTTTGCTATTAATGAATTCAACTGTCTCGTTTCATGAGTATGAATTGTATTTACTTCAGTAAAGTTCAAGTAAGATATTTTTATTTATTTTTCTCACAAAATGAATAAAAGAACAAATTTTCATTTTATATAAAGATGATAAATTCAACTTTTTGGGTATGTAAAGATAAATAGTTGGTTCCAAGTAATGGGAATTGTAAATGCACTTATTTATTTATTTATTTATTTCAGTTATTGCATTACATTCTCTTTTTCATTGATACATTTCATGCAAATAATATATAAAGTATATGTAATTTTCTAGTAGGAATGACATGAATGATCAGACAGTAAATACTGGTATAAGATCATTCATGAAGTATTATCGACTGTTGTATAATTGAAATTACAAATAGTGAACAAAACTTACATATTATTAAGATACAGTCATATTATAGTGAACAAGAAGGGGAAAAATAAAAACAGTGAAAAAAAAAAGAAAAAAGGAAATTCATAGTCTTTCAGCTTTGATCATTCCTTTGCATATAAATATATTTCTTAACTTTATTTTTGAATTGCATAATATTTGGGCTGTTTTTGATATCATCTGGTAATTTATTGAATTTCGAAATCGCCTCATGTGTAAACTTTTTTTGCCCAAGTTTAGAATTTGCAGCTTCAAGATGAAACAAGTTATATTGTCTAGTGTGATGATCATGAATTTCGGAATTCCTGATCAATATAAAATTTGATTTAAGCTTTTTGTTGATGATATAATGTGGTATACCTGAATTTTCCCAAATTGATATTAAATATTGTAATTCTGAGTAAATCAGACAGAAATATATATTCTTCAAATATCTACGAGAAATTAAATTTCGAATTTTGTATAATATGGTAGTTACGCCACTGATGCGACCGTATGATTGTCTGCCCGCAGGTGCAGGATCTGATCAGCAACGAGGAGAAGTGGTCGAAGCTGTCTTCCGAGCAGCAGCAAAGCAGGATGCGGCAGCTGAACGGGGACGAGCGGCAGTGTCGGTCGTACCTGACGCTGGCGCGCGAGACGGTCGACATGTTCCACTATCTGACGGTCGATATCAAGGAGCCGTTCCTGAAAGCGGAGCTTGTCGATAGGTGAGAACCTCAATTATGGATTCCTATATCCACAAATAAAATTATAATTGAAATTGAATTCAACTCTTTTTAATGGGGGACTTTGCTTCAATTTGCCAACCTAAAAACCTCTACCAATGTAGAAGCAACATTATGGAAGTTTTATTACTCGAATTCATTTTGACGAAATCTTATTGTAGGAGTCTACTCAGCTCACGAATAGAAGTGATTCAGAAGAAAAATTATTTTTTGTGAACTCCAGTTCTGATTAGTTGAAAATTATGTTGATGCACCTGCTTTCATTCTGAAATATGTCATATCGTCGTCAATCATATTACTTGTCACATTTTTGTTACATATTCAGAATTATTTTGTTTATGGACAACACTATTATTCATCATTATTTGGTAAAGAAGTTTGATCGTTGCAGTAGGAATATATTTGAGTGGTAAAAATCGATCCGGACATAACTTAGCAAGAATAAAATAATGAAGTTTCAACCTTCTGAAGTGAGAAATAACCCAAGGAAGTGTCTTCAAGAGGATGGAACCATAACTGTTTGGAAACGAAGAAATCACAGTCGATATCATAAATGAAAATACTAACATACCTATGTAATAATGAGCGTTTTCCTAGTAAAAAATGATGAAAGGGAAAAGAAATCATCCAACTAACACTTTTAAAGCTTACATGACTCACCTTGAATGAAAACTGATCAAAGTTTTCATATCACAAATGTCGGAATACAACAATATCAGAAGCTTGATGAGGATAAGAGCCAAAATTTTGTTGATAAACTGAATTGGGTCATTTATATTGAGCAATTGAGCAGAAACTAACGAATGCAATTTTTGTTTTGAGAAATTGAAAGATCGTTTTAAAATCGTCAGAACATGTTACTTCGTTCTTTTTCACTCACAAGGTTTGTATGGTGTAAAGCTACCTATGATGTTCCAGAGTTCATTAAAAAGTAGTACACGTACACATTTACCCGTTACTGTGAAATATAGTTCAATTTTGACACTACTTGTCAAACTCGATAAGAAGATTAATCAAGATAGACAAGCCTGACTCACAATAGCCTATAACTGCTGTACGACTTGTTTATGCACACAACTGTACTTAGGGGTAACTCCTGTCATGCTATGCACATTTTTATACTTCAGAAACTTGCAGTCAAAATTGTAGCAGGTAGGTGCAGAATGTAGGGAACATTGCCATTAAATCTTCAAAAGTCTCAGGATAATGCCTTTTCCTCCATTATACCGATTGGCCCGTGAAATCGTTCCACCCAAGTTTTCTCCATTGTGACACAATCAATGATAAACCATTCTGACAGGTCGATTTTAAGTTGACGGGGGATAATTTTTCTGTACTTTTCAAATCCGAAAGTTGAAACCTTTAAGCAGGCATATAAGCTCCAGAAATTTAAGAAAAACACCAATTCCTACCTCCCTTGGTTCTCACGATGTTCTCTGAACATTACAGGATATCCCTTTTCGTGGGAATCAGAACATTAAAAAATATATACAAAGCGAATAATTCGATCGAATATCTTGGTATATAAATCTATTGAAACAAAATAATCCGGTGATTTCATGATGTTATTTTTTTCAGGTTAGCTTCAATGCTGAACTTCAACTTACAACAACTTTGTGGCAAAAAGTGTAAAGACTTGAAGGTTAGGAACCCGGACAAATACGGATGGGAACCACGACGGTTACTGAGTCAATTAGTTGACATTTACTTGCATCTCGATTGTGATAAGTTTGCCGAGGCTCTGGCCAAAGATGAGGTGAGAAAAGAATTATGAATGATACACAAACTGACCCAGAGGAAATCTGATGCAAAATATCCATTATAAAATAATGTGTCACGATTTCTTCAAGTATAAATGTACCGATGTACATACTTTTCATTACAATTTTTAATTTGTGTTCCATTTAACTGCCAGGTAATTGACTGAACTCTTTTGTCTTGAGGGGCATTCAACACTGCTTTCCATAACTCTACTAACGAAATTGTTCTTTTGTTATCATCAAAATACAAGTGTATCAATACTATCAATACTGTCAACTTATTCAGGAGAAAAAATCAGATAATTTTAACCAGATCGAAAAATATTCGAAAAAATTAGCTATTTTAACTTTTCTTGATTAATAATTGTTTGAAACTCTTTATTATTATGTATGTATAATACTGGCCATCTAATTCCTAGTCATTTTTTCAATTCGCCGCCTTACCAGTGATCCCTAAGAAAACAATCTTTCGATACTATAATAATAAACTTTTTCCCATATGTTACGGACTTTATGGATGACACTGTATAAATTTATTTCGATAACACCCTGTATGTTGGCATCAATGGTCTGTATCAGAAGGCCAATCTATAGTTTCAGTATGTCTATGGTTGTTCCTAGTTTGGATTGTTCATCATGAAAACTAAAAGAAAAAGGGAGACTGCCATACCATAATTCTACAACACAATATAGATGTATGGAAAGTCAAATATAAACATCTCAAACACAATCATACCTGATATACAGGGTGTTATTTAATCGATGGCTGAAAATATACGATAATATGGTCACTTATCTCATTTTAAGAAGAAATGTTAATATGAACATTTGCCCTAAACCTCTTAACTTTCAAACTATAGGGTGTTTAAATTTTATATTCTCTTCATTAATTGATGAAACTTTCACAATTCAAAAAACTGCCACGTTTATGAATACTTGTCAAAATAAGGCCGCAATGTAATAGAACAAAATTCTACTAGTTGAAAATAATTTCGTTTTACCACAAATGCATGAAAATGATAAATAAATTCAGGAGGTTGAATTGTTGCAAAATAAATAAGGATTTCAAAAACTATTTTTATTTTCGGAGAAATCAAGGGCGTACACTGGTAGAAATATTAAAAAATCTCCTGCATCAAAAAATGTCTGTTGGCGCTTAGTAGGTGCATGTCAAATTCCATGTATATGAAAACAGTAATGAAGTTTTGATGAGAAAACGAATTATTTCCTGAAATTTTAACAAGCTATAGCTCAAAAGTTGAGATCTTTAGGGCATATCATGTTCATATGAACTTTCCTTCTTAGAATCAGCTAAGGAACCACGTCCTTCATTTTCAGCCATCAACAGGGGCAGATTAACATTCGAAGGCGCCCAAAGCCCATGCATATTTTCGCGCCCTCCTTCTCAATGTTTCATTCAGTTTTTAGTATATGAGACACACAAAACTGGCGACAGTGTTATACATATTCAATTTCAAATTATATCAAACACTATAAAATGGCTAACCAACATTAACAACTTATTTTCCAACAACCTTAAGACTATACCTACTAACTGTTACTTCTGAATTTTTGAGCAGGTCTGATTCTATCGTCATCAAGACTAAGTCGCTCAGTTGGAATCCAATAACTTCGACCTTTAATAATTTTTAATTCTCTTGAGTGTCAGGATAGATCTTCCTCCTGAACAGTTAGTAACTGCTTTGATCATGTTGTTCTGCCTTATCTCTACCTTTTTTTTTTCAGCGGCACTTAATTTTTCATTTAAGCTGCTCATGACAAAAACACGAAAAAAACACGAAATTATCATAGCAAATCTAACACAATGATATCTGCAAATGTATAACAGTGCGAAGTGCAAAACTGCAATATTTCTGTAGCATGGTATTCCCCGAATAGATGCCTCGCACCATAGATCTCGAACTAAATATGCCGCTGATTCAGTGTAGCGTTGCCAAATGTTGCCATCTATGCGCAATGACTTTTAGGAGGAGAACTATGGGGGCTGTTGCTACTTCGGATAATTTTTCGCAATCACTGCGATTTTAAAAATATGTTGTATATTTATAAGATAAGTATAATAGTATAAAGTACCCACATAAGGAAATATATAATTTGATTTCTGATTCAATGAAAGTATTTGGAATTTTTTTCGCCCTCTGGGATTTAGCGCTACAAGCCCTGTCTTCGCGGTCTTGTACTATAAGCCGCCCCTGGCCATCAATTAAATTACACACTATATTTGGTATCTTCCAGAGATCCTTCAGGAAGGAGCTGTTCGAAGACGCGGCCGCCCGCCTCGAGCGCATCTCCATCAAGACCCCCGTGCAGATCGAGCAATTCCGCTCGTTGGCCGCCAAAGGCTTCCGCGTGCTCGAGACCAACAGGCGGTCGGAGGACTGGCTGGCAGACGCGCCCGACGAGTTCAAGGCATGTATTTATTGAATACTACAGTGAATCATTGAACTCAATGTAAACAACTGGAAAGGAGACTGCCGTTTTTTCGAATAGCACAGACAGCGTTGCCACAGCTCGCTCGATTGAGCGAGATCTCGCTCGTTTTGTCAGTAGTTCACTCTCTTGCTCCTCTTTATCAAATCTCGCTTGTTTTCACCTCAGCTAGTAGGCCACACAGATTGGGCGCAATATGAGATAACAGAGTTTATATTTTTTCAAAGCTCAGCCATATCAGCATAGATGGCCTTAACACAAGTGATGAATTTAATGTTAAATCAATGATAATTTTTTAATGATGATTGATTGCGACATTATCCTTTTTCCTTGATGAATATTTATATGATCATCCTTTTTCCTTGATAATCTTGAATAAAAGCAAAAAACGAGCAAATATTTCAAATAATGCGAGTGCTTACCTTTAGCCAACATAAGATAGAAAGAGATAGGTATCCGTAACCACTGCGGGATGCCTGAACAATATTTTTGCCTCAATTGTCGTTCACAGAGGATCCCCTCCAGTTATTTACATTGAGTTCATTGGGGTGAGTAGATTAAATAGAGTGACGGAATGTCAAGTTACTGAATAGCTAAAATCTGAAGGGTATCTCTCATGCATTAATGAATTTGGTCCTTCGAAGTGCCCACCTGATGTTAGGTTTAGATATTTGATATTTTTATTTCATCATCTAAATAATCTGAGACTTACGAACCCCGAAAGACGGACTCTAATAGTATCATTATATAAACTCAAAATTTCTTGTTTTTTCCATTTTGTCAGGAAGGAATTGGGAATAACAAATTTAAATTTTAATGAAGTTGATATAATTCACGCCCAGACAACCAGCCACTCCCGTATGGGAATTTTGGTTTTGGAGTGTTTCTTTCCTTCTTTTTCACTCAGATGGCGTTGCTCTCATACTTTCTCCGCCTCTGAGGGAATATAATGCCGACTTGATTTTTGTTTGGCTAGGCTACGCTTAGTCGGCTGTCTTAGGACTGCTGGCTGGAGACTGCCCTGCACTGGTGAGAGTCAAAGAGCTCGAAACCGGTCTGTAGGTGTCTAGCGTAGCCTGGCTAAATCGAAATCAATAGTATAGGCATTCAGGAAAGAATCACTTGCATCAGTATTCGTTTATACGAGTCGATGCATAGATTTCTGGAGGATATGATTCAAAGTTTTGCCTGGCGTTAGCCAGGAAAGTAGTTGTTTTTTCCCGAAATCATTGTTGTTCATTTTATGAACATTGTGTGGGAATGACTTTGAACTTTTTTGTATTCATTTACTAAATACATGGTTCAAGGACCCGCTTATGGACACGCTGATGGTCGATCCGGTGCTGCTGCCCAGCGGCCAGGTGATGGACAGGGCGGTGATCATGCGGCATTTGCTGAACAGCAACACGGACCCGTTCAATCGGCAGGTTCTCACCGAGGACATGCTGATTCCAGGTGAGAGACTCGAACACGATGCATGCACACCCTCACACGTAAATAGTATATTACATAACAAGAGTTGTGAAACGCATATTACGCAAGAACATCCGAATTTGTTCATTTCATATCATATCGGTCTACATCTGTGTCAAATTGGTGTTAAAAAGTGCACAATACCTATTGGATTATTCGAGTTTAACTGCCACACTACTTGTAGTTTATCCACCCCAAAGAATTCAATTCTCATCCCCCCCTTCTATCACATGTTAAGTTAATAATTTCTGGACTTTCCACACGATTAGATTCAAAATGAGGCCTTCGGGCTATCTGCTCCCAGAATAGTTTCGAGTTCCTACACGAGGAGTATTCAAATCCACATGTTGAGTTTTACACTTGTTTATGATATTATGTGGACTGTATTTTGTTTTTCACTAACTTGGAAAAAAAAAGGCTGATTCAATCGCGGTCAAATTTCGTGAGATTACTTCTTACCTTGGTTGTTGAGGAACTGATCTTGAAGAAAACTACTGTTGTTCTGTAGTAAAGATCTGTTGTTGGGCAAGGGTTGATACAAATAATACGAAGTAGACTTACGCGCGGTGCACCGAAGATCGCTTGACTTTTTATAAATATTTAACACAAAAATTGCTCTTCTCGCATGCGGTGATTTGAATGTAAGAAATCAATGTATTAATAAAAGATTCTGAGTGCACCACTTGGTAGATAATTATAAGTATTAAATAATAATTTCTAAGTCAAGTTCGAAACTAAATTTTAAGAAATTGAACAACATTGGTCCATCGGATATTATCTTTCGAGAGGGACGAAATATTGACGCTCTGCCACTAACTTAGATCACGTTGAATAGTGGCAAGTTTGGCAAAGAGGACATTATCCCCTTTTTATTTGCTTTTTGTTTAAACTCCTTATACATGACGCAAGTATGTCCGGAATAATGGCAGCAAATAAATCGCTGTACCGTTAAGAGTAAGTTTTTGAGATCTACCACTCAATAAAGCAGTTCAGCTATCGTTGAGAGAGAAAAAAATTTCTTCCCTAGAGTCCCTGTATATAACTTAGAAAAGAGTCCGGACACAGGTATACTTCTGTCCTTTTTTGTTTTCAAAAAATGCATTGATGATTGAATAAAGGAATAAGACATATATATCGAGCTCTGTCTTCTCAATTCCCCTAGTATCAATGATTGTCAGAAACCTTTTTGAGGGTTAGATTATTTGTCAAACCGTTCATAGCCGTAGGTAGAAGTGAGACATAGGGCTATTCATTCTAACTAGAATAACTATTAGATTTTCGAATAATGAACAACAGGGTGTTCAAATTTCGAATCGATAATTTTCATAATCAATTCCTGAGATGGCTATTACAAATTTTTGTCATCAGATATTTCTTCACTTCATTAGATATAAGAAAGATAATTTAAGTGTTCTACGTGGTATCACATATAGCCAAGAAAATATAGTTGTTTTTTGTTGGGATATATAAAAAAAAGAAGATATATAATTGTTTCAATATAATTTTCTCCGATACTCTCAATTTAATTCGAGTTTTGATTTCAAACTTTCAATTTCTTTCCGCATCATCTCATTCTCATTTTCTTTCTCTGCGAACGTATCATTCAGTAATTTCCAATACGATGACGACGGGACTCTTTTTTTGAACGTCTCTATTTCATAAATTGACGGCACAGCAGACATTTTCAATTTGAAATCCATCAGCTTGAAAAAATCAAAATGGGCCTAAAATTCATCCTTTTTGTACTGTTTTCACAAGTAAATTTGAATATTTACCTCACATATTTCGGATTTCTTGAAATTAATTTTCCATTCTGGACGTTTCATTGCATTCTTCCATGACATTGTCTTTGACGACTATGGTGTTTCGTCACATTGTCAGGTGGGCAAACCAAATGAAACAAAATATTAAAAACCCCAACGGCTGTCAGTTTTGTGTCCGGACTCTTGTCTAAGTTATATACAGGGACTCTATTCTTCCCCATTCGTCAGTGTCCCAACATAGTGGAAATATTTAGTTGGTTACATTGGAAATGGGAAAAAATGGAGAATATTATATTAACCCCAATATAAAAAAGGTTAGAATGGTCTTCTTCCCCATTTCTTCTCATTTAGTGGATACTCTAAAGATCGAACTAGAGAACATGAATTATGCGCATTTAGGACCTGTTATATATTTTATTTACAACCATATATGTAATGTTGTCATTACTAACGTCTTTGAAGGTTGGGAAGTGTCACTTTACACATATCTACTTCCCACTCTCACCTCACTTATGTTATATTTTAGGTATGTTCGGAACAAAACAGAGATTTATCAATTTTGATCGAAATATGATGGTTGTAAATAAAATAGTACACAAACCTCGGTAGGAAGTTTCATTCCTGTCTCGAGATCATAGCTAACCTCGACGCTTTGCGTCTCGGTTAACTAACTAATCTCACGACAGTAATGCATCTCTTCCCACCTCGGTTTGCAATATACTATCACTCACTTACTCATGTTAACGAATGATGCAGCTACATAATGGCTGTGTCAAGATTCGTTCGACCACACTATTGATGCCAGGGTAGCCAATGGTTGACTCGGCTTCCATCAAAAGTTAACGTGGTAACTTTGTGGGCAGGTTTGAAATGTGACCGATATTCCCAATCAGCTGCTTGGTCAGATCGATGGTCAGACTTCATACTGAACGTATGTGCCCGGTCAAAACAGACTTGACACAGCCAATGTAAATGCAAATTGTTTTGACATTTCAATGTATGTAAATCTGTTGATAGAAATAATTGGTAAATAATGATCTTATTTTCAGCTGATGATTTGAAGGAAAGAATTCAAATATGGAAAACCGAAAAGACGTCAAGACCGAATTAGACTAGTTAGAGAACTTACCCTATTTTTTTTTTCATTGTTTATTTGAAAGATTTATTTAAATCCTATATTGTTTCAAATGTGATAATTATTCATTTTTGTATTTAATTTACTTCTTGAGGTGAGGTGACATATAAAACTAGGGATTTATTCAAAATGAAACCAAATTAAGGCTGAAATATCCCCGGATCTCAATAACTTGATAATAATCTTATTAATGCATTGCTTTCATGCCTTTCTGTTGTGTATTTTTTTTTTCTGGAACTATAATCTAATCATTTGAGGTTTCCTCATGAAAATTCTCCATCATTTTATAACATTGGGTTTCTCAGTGTTGTAATGTCAACTAAAAACTTGTCAAACTACTTCAGAATTGGTTCCTACTAGGGTGGGTGCCTTCTTCTCAGTTTGATGAATTTTTCATTCTACTAACTAGGGTATGGTCAGATCAATGTCTCATCTGATGATGATGAGATGAAAAGTACCTTATAATAAGTACCTAAATCAAATTTACATGAAGGCAGCACCCAAGTTCATAATATATTGTTTACTGACCTGTAATATTCATCTTTCGGCATGGAAAGTGAACTTTGTAATGAGTCCTGAATCCAATCATTCTCTTCGAGGTCAGTTGGTTTTATCAAGTATTATAAATAATACCAATGATTATTTGCTTATGGCAAAACTCATAAACTGTCGCAAAAAACAAACGGCAAGTCATTGAACTTTCTCATTGTTGAACACTGTATAAAATCTGAATAACAAATTTATCAATTTTCACTATTGTTAATATGGAAATACTTGTGAATAGTTATTGTTTATAATGATTTTTCGTTTTTGTCGTTCTGAGAAAAAACTTCTGATCAGGTTGAACATTTTTTTGAGTCCTATTGGAAGCTTTTTGATGCATTTATGCAACTGGGTTACTGTCTGTCAGGGACAAATATTCCGGATACATTTTTTCATTACGTATTATGTTTCCAGTCTTCATATTATTTTCATTAAACTGAAAATCCGAAAACGAAAAATCATATGATGGACTTTCTCAACATTCTTGATAAATATATTTCACCCAATGTTTGGCATATTCTTATTTTGACTACAATAAACTTTGTAGTAGTGTATTATCAAGGCTCTTGGACACATAAGTTTGCCTTATTTACTTACTGTTTCCCAGTAAGCAATATCGGAAATCTGAAGAAATCTATCTGTGAATTTCACTTATCGCAAATCTACCGTATTGAAACTTCGACTAAAGCTCTAAAAATCCATAATTTCCATATTTCCATGCAGAACTCCTGAATGAAGAAATCTTGTGTGATCAAGAGCCTTCATATATACCGGGTGGCACAGGGTATCGAATCTCCCCTGTAACTCTTGCATTCATGAACGAATTATCCTGAAATTTAGTACAATAATATAATATAACCTAACCTAACCTTTTTGGGTTTCACACCAATATGGAGGACTTCCGGATTTTATGGAAATGCCATGCAAGAATGTTAGACAGATAGGTATCCCAAAGGAGTTCCATTTGAAAGAAATGAGTTGAACCTGAATGGATTTATGAAGGTACAATGAAAAATTATTTCAATTTCTTTCAATGATGTTTATATTATTTTTAAAGTTGATAGCATTTCCAGAAAACCCTGAAGTCCTCCATATTGGATTGTAATGTGATCAAATCCGAAATGATTGGTAATATCAATGTACTAACTTTCAGAAATATTCTTTTACGAATAAAGAGGCAGATACCCCGTGTCTCCCGATCTCTAATATGGGAACAAAATCATAGCCCCCACTCGGAGCGAATTGATTATTGAAGGCCATGATGACATTTTGCCTCGAAGATTCACTATACCTATGCCTCGATAACCTGAATTGATAATATTCATAGGCGTTCAGTACTTTTTGTATGTATATACTCGCTTGAAGAAATCTTTGAATTGTACGTACTAATCCATCATTCGGGTAGTAATTATTGTCCCGTTATTGATTGAACAAGATGATGAACAGTAGGGAACAAGGAAGAAAGATTTTGCTCGGTTTGTGTGGATAAAATGAAATCATAATGACATTGCTAAATTTCATGCTACAAAGGTATTCAGGTTTTTATTTGATTTTATTCCCTTATAGAGAAAGACAGCACTCAAGTTGAATTTTCTTCCTGGTTCATTCAATATGTCATCATCTACTGAATTGCTCAGTTGAACTTAATTTTTGTAAATAATTGAATGATATGATAGCTGAAGACAAAGTGAGATGTATATTACTGAATACGCATGTCAAACTGACATCCAATTTTATTATTTACTCATAATGTTGGTAATTCGTATTACCCTGATGACATTTATTTGAATATGATGCAACTTTTTATATGAAATTCCTAGAATAGTAATTTAGAAATAAAACAATATTGAAAATATATCTCATTGTTTTTATCTCTGCAGATAACCTTATAAAACCTTTCAGCTGTGAAAAACAGAAGTATTCTGGAATACAAAAACAAAATTCAGTGTAACAAAACATGTATTCAATCTGTACCAGTATCAGTTAAGAGTTGTCAATTATACAAATTGAGAATGCTAACACAAAGAGTCAAACCTTCATAAAACATCAATAATTTTCAATATTTATCACAGCCACAACTACAATCTTATTTTATTACAAACCATCTGAAAAATCATAGAAGAATCAATTCAAATTTGTAATTTCAACGGGTCATAATTTTCAATAGGGAAGAACATATATTATTATGTTACTGAAATATAGCATAAAAATAATAAGTGCATAGTTGTCATACTAAGTTATGTGATAATATAATATGTCACTTACTTGCCTAATTGGAAATTACGTCCCAAGATTATTGGTACTATTGGTAGTATCATGTAAATTCACGCAGTTCACTATCATATTGCAAGTATAATTAGAATAAAATCCTGAAGATAGATTAAATATTGAAGGAACAATTCTAATCAATTTCATATCTAATTTTCAACATTGAACATTTTCATGATGCAAAGGAAAAAGGATCAAGAAACATGTGAAGAATAAAAACGTCTTCACTACAACATGTGCAAATTAACATTGTGAGCATCAAAATGTATTGTTGGCAGTTTTTTTTGCATATTTCTCATGAAACATCAGACCAGAACTACCAAATGTTGTGGGAATATCTTTCTGAGTGAAAAGTACAAGGCTTAAGCCCTGATAGGTTTTTAGAATAATGTGAGACAATATAAATTAGTGTCGATCCCTGGTGTTAATCTGAATATGAATGTTAAGTCATTTTAAGCAATACCAAATCAAACTGATCGCTGAACGATATCAGCTTTTCAAAAGTTTTTAAACTTTAAACTCCATTTTTAGGACACCCAGAGATGCGTGAATAACAGTCCAGTTGGATTAAAAAATCTCAGAGCTATCTTCCAAATCAACAGTTTTCCTCTTTTTGAAATTCCTCTTCGTACCTTTCAGCTGAGTAATTTTCCGCTTTTTCGATTCTTTTTTCTTCTCGTGCCGTTTAATTTTTTTCTTCGCAAAAGATTCCGGATCGGTTACTGCAAGTTGGGTTCTTGCCCGCTTTCTTTCTGCCCTCTTTACTGACAGCGTTTGTTGCTGTTTCGATAAGATACTCGTATATTTTTCTATGCCCAATTTATTCTTGAACAAATTCGAAACTTCTTTGGCCAGCTGCCGCAACGGGGCATTTTTCTCTTCAGTAGAAGTCATTTCTCTAACCAGGGGTGCTAGTAAATGGTGTATAATTGGTAAGATATTCTTGATTTCCAGGGCCGTACCAACCCCAGCTATCCACTTGAATACCTCGGTACGTAGTGTTGTGCTAGATGCGTCTTCAACGATTTCTGTGTTCACTATTTTACGCATGCGTTTGGCCAACCATAAGATATTCAATTGATTTTCTCCTTCGGCGGTTTTCAATGGAATGTCTTGTAAAACTTTGGCAACGAATATCAAATTCTTGATAACCTGTTCGGCTAACTCACTTTTAACACCGTTGGGTTGCAGTTGATCGCACAGATCCAATGTTAGAGATTTCACTGCGTTCACTGGATCATTATATAGATAACCACCTCCGTTTTGCTGATCAGATGTCAGAAGCTTCGACAAATGATCAATATCAATTGTAGACAAAACATAACCGATGAACTGTGCTGCAGCTAATCGTACCCAATCGTGGGGATAATTCAACAATGTCTGAACATGGACGGCCAAATTCTCAACGACATCTTTGTGCTTCAAAAATGTAGGACAGTGCATGCAAATTTTGAGTACCAGTTGCAAAACTTGAAATAAATGATGATCCTTGATCCGTTGATATTCTTCAGGGTCCTGTCTGTTGTCGGCTTTCTGGACCTTCACTAATTTTCCAGGAGTATTATCTAGTCCGAACTGTTTCAGAACCAAAGGCTCGAGACGTGGGAGGCGATTTTCGAAATCGGTTTTCTCGACTGTGACAAAAATGCTACACAACTGAGCCCCAAGTCGACAATGACTTATATTCTTGTCTTGCATCCAAATGATGATAACGTCAAAAAGAGGATTACGATCCGCTTTGGGCAACTTTTTCAACATTGAAGATATACACTCTGCAATTTTTTTCCTGCAGTCTGGTTCATCGTCGTTGACCAATCGCGCTCCTAGAGTTATAAGCAAGGTTCCACTCTGACCCTTCAGGACATCCAGGGGAAATGAGTTTATAAGTGTCTGGATCATTTCTATAGAAGAGTCTCGACCGTACTTCAATTCATAACTCATTTGAGAAAGGTAGAACCCGAGATGTTTCTCTAGGGAATTGCCTAAAGGATACTCCATGAAGAATTGGTGGAATACTGATCGTGCTTGAGCTCTCACGTGATCTAGTTCAGACGTGATACTCAATTCTGCTATTTTTTCCATAACTTCGTTCAATTCGGGTGTGATAACCTTCCTAGCGATGATCGCTTTAAGTAGATTAAAAGCAATAGCTTGCCTGTCATGGTCATGGATGTCCTGTTCCACATACAAAAGAAGAATTTTCAGTTGGTTGGTATCTATGGTATAATACTTGACATCTCTTACTAGAACTGCCATCACCTTG